TTGTTTTTTTTGTTTTTTTTTGTCTTTTGCTCCTTTGTTTTCTCATTGTGCACCAACCCTATTTTGACGAATAGCTACCTCGTCTACTTGAGTGATGCATTAAAAAAAGGAGGGTTCTCAAATAAGAAAAGCACCAACCCTATTTTCAGTGAATGATAGTAATAATTCCATGTCTCTGTTTTTCTCTTGTTGCATCGACACTCTTTTTATTTTGTTTTTTATTCTTCATTTATTTATTTTTTCTTTTCTCTGTTTTTATTTTCAAGTTCATTCAAAAACTACTGGTGCACCGACTCTATTGTGACGGATATTGTGAGAGAGAGAGAATGATGGGAGGGGAGGTACATCTCTTTTGTGCATCGACACTCTCTATTGTGAGAGAGAGAGAATGATGGGAGGGGAGGTACATCTCTTTTGTTCATCGACACTCTATTGTGAGAGAGATAGAATGATGGGAGGGGAGGTCCACGGATACTCTACGTCGAGGGAGAGAGAATGATGGGAGAGGAGGTACATCTCTTTTGTGCATCGACACTCTATTGTTAGAGAGAATGATGTGAGGGGAGGTCCACGGATACTCTACGTCGAGAGAGAGAGAATGATGGGAGGGGAGGTACATCGCGTTTGTGCATCGACACTCTATTGTGAGAGAGAGAATGATGGGAGGGGAGGTTCACGGATACTCTACGTCGAGAGAGAGAGAATGATGGGAGGGGAGGTACATCTCTTTTGTTTTCTGTTTTTGATTAGGTCTTCGATTGAATCTTATCGCTTGATTAGTTTGTTGATTAAATCTCGTCTTTTTTATTAGGTCATTTGATGTAACGATAGAAATCCATCTATTATGCTAGCTAATCTAGCAGAAAAGTGCTGCACGAATACGTATCTCATTTGATTAAATACCGATTCTTAAAAGAAAAAATAAACGATTCTACCTATAGTTTGAGCTTTTTTTTTTTTTTTTTTAAATTTGCACGATTTCTCGATTTATGCGTATCATCCCTGAAAGAGCAGGGGCCATGCTAATCTTCTATGTATCGTTCCAATTTTAACGGATGTCCCGAAGGACAGGTTCGATCTTCTTTCTATGTTTTCAAAAACTGAATTTGGATTACAAAACTGAAAACTCGTAAATTATTTTGTTTAAGAATTGAGTGGACCTGACAACCTAGAAGGGTACAAAATTGCAAGTGCGTTCAAAAAAAAAAAGGGGTATAAAAGGGTATAAAAGGGTATGAAAGGGTATAAAAGGGTATGCCAGTCGGAAGGGGTGCTCTTAAAATTATCAGGGTCCGGGATCTCGGTTGTGTCGCTATCGGCTTCACACAAATAGAACGCGCAGGGTCATTATAGCTTTTTGATTTGGGCCAAATTGCACTCTAGGTAATGGCGCGAATGACCTTGCGTTCTTCGGAGGAAGAGGGTGCGTTTTTTTTTTTTTTTTTCATTGCTAGCGGTGTTCAACATCATGTTTTTGAAAGTCTCAACAGCATAAAAGCCTGTCTCTGAGCTTGTGATCCCCTTGTGTGTGCGTGCGTGTGTCCTGCCTTACTGCTTCACCCTTTCTCTCCGCGCTTCTCCTCCATCTCCTTTTCCTCCTCTTCTTCCCCCTTTTTTTCTCTATTTTTTGCTTTTCCGGGACTTTGTTCCTGTTGACTGTTACTTCACTTCTTTCCTGTCCTCCTCTTTTTTGTCTCTCTTTCCTGTCCTCCTCTTTTCTGTCTCTCTTTCCTGTCGCTCTTTTGATTATTATAAGGCCCGTTATCTTTTTTTTTTTTTTAATTTCTGTTCTGTACTTTTAGGAGCGGGATTTTCGTGTTTTCCTTTTACTACCCTCTTCCCCCGAACACAACGCACCCTGATAAGGAATGTATACAAGCTATATTTCCGGTCAGGTACTGCCAAAACGAGGGTGCGTTGTGTTTGGGAGAAGACTGTAGTGGTGCAGAGTTCGTGATATAAGAGGGAAACCCACTTATCTATCTGCGAAACAGTTGTCACACGACATGAAAGAGCGCTTTGCGCAGCTGTAGAGCGTAATGGTCAAAGCCTGCCAGACTGTGAGACCTACAAGTCGAACAGAGACGAAGGTCGGCCATAGTGATCTGGGGCTCCCGTGTGGAAGGGCTCTCGCTCAACGGATCAAAGGTACGCCGGGGATAACAGGCTGATGACTCCCAAGAGCTCATTACTTTTGAATGGTCCACAAGTAAAAGCACCGTGACGTGTGAAGTTGCCAGGTCTTCTCTCTCTCTCTCTCTCACACACACACACTTGTACGCTCACACACTCTCACACTCACGCACACACACTCACGCATACACAGTCTCATACACACTCACACTCACACACTCGCACACACACACAAACACTTTGCACGGTTGGTGTGAGTGAAGTAGACCACTTTTCTCGCTAATGGGTATCACTAACTCTATCCATCAGTCGTGCATCCTGGACAGAATGTCTGTCCAGGTTCGGCCTTCTGATGAGTTGCTGCAGAGTCATGCTGTTTCTGATTGTATAGCGGATTTAACAACAAACACACTCACACACATTATACTGGACTTTATACAAAAGATCCTTGGCTTGCTAGGTGTCTCTCACTTTGCCTGCTTTCATTAACAGTAGAAACAGTCCCCCAAAATTTGGCAAAATTTTAACAAAATTTTCCCGCCGTTAACAGTATTCCGTTAACAAAATTTCATTAACAGTATTCCGTCCGCCGTTAACAGTTTTTTTTGGCAAAATTTTTCTATTTTGGTCTGCATGGCAAAGCTATCTGGTTTTTATTTCACACACACCCACACCCACACACACACTCACACTCACACTCACACACACACACTCACACTCACACACTCTCTCCCTGGTGCGCAGGCGTTTGTGCGGACGGGTACGCCGGGTTCTCTTGACTTTCCAGAGGAAAAAATCAGTCGCCTTAATCTCGCCGGTATCATCTATAGACTGTCGCCGTTTGACGTGTCGTCTCGTCGTCTGTTCTGAATACGATAGAAACAATAGAAACAGTAACTTGCCCTGTCGTACATGAATGTACACAGTCACGATACTGGCCAAATGCAGTCGTGCCTAGGTTGTATCCATGGCCCACATGAGACGGGAAACATGCGATTATAGCGCAGTGTAACGAAGCGCCCCGAATCTTTATTTATATCTTTTGACGTCAGAACTCTGCAGACAGCGGGCAGTCTGTAATATCGTTGATGAACAAAAATGCCGAAAAAATGAGGAAAAAAATTGTAGGGGCAAAATACGTACGCCGCCCTGGCAGGAGGAGGAGGGGGAAAATCGCAGTGGTGTTTTTTTTTTTCCCTTTTCTTTTCTGTTCGCTGTTTAATTTTCCTCCATTAAAACTTTGAATCGCGCTCATGCTAATGAGCACAGGCGAGGGTCTTATTTGTGTGGTAGTGCGTTTGTGGTGTCTTTTTTTTGGCCTTTCTTTATTCATTTGGGCATGGGCAGTGATAGAATGAGTGCGGCGCTCGCTTTTGCTCTTTGTTTTTTCCGGTTCGTGGTTAACGTGTTTTGTACCTGTGTAGTTTATATTCCACGTGGGCGGCCTTGTACGCAAGAGGTTCTGAACAGGGGGAGTTGTAAGGAAGACCATTAAAAAAAACGAATTCATTTTTTCCTTGTTTTCTTTCTTTTTCCTTTTTTTCGCTTTTGCGCTCTGATATTCTTGTGAAACTGTGAAACTTATATATAGTTGGTGAATCTCCGACGAAACAGTTTGTCACAGCTCCTCGTTTGTTCTCCTCTTCTCCCTCCCTCTCTACCGTAGGCAGCTCTGTTTGACGATATACATGATGAGTCGGTGAAACTCCGACGAAATGCTTTGTGTCACAGCTTCTCGTTTGTTGTCCTCTTCTCCCTCTCTCCCTACGGTTTACCGGGAAGCTCTCTGTTTCACGATATATAGGGTTCAGGGTGTGACGATATATAGGCTTCAGCCTCCTGATGTGTAGGTGAAACTCTGACGAAACGGGTTGTCACTTCCCCTCGTTTGTTGCCTTCTTCTCCCTCTCTGACTACTGTTTGCTGGGCCGCTGTGTTTTGGCGGCCTTGGGATCTCGGCATTGAAGTGACCGCTCCTAGGTAATTCAGAAGTACGTTGTTTTGTTAATCTGAGTGCATCTGGATTGGAGATTGAATCTGTTTGTTCAAGAGTTCATGGGTGTACGAACTGAGCTAGGCCCGTTGGTATGTTGGTGGGGTTTGGCAGGGGCAACCTATTGAAGTGAGGCAGAGTGCAGGGCTGCTCCTGAAGAATAACCTGAAGACCGCATGGTCGGGTACCGCTCAGCAGTTTCAGGAGTACATGAAGAACGAGCTGCTGCCTTCCATCGGCGTTGCCAATCGGGAATTACGAAGCACGGTGGGGACAGTAATCAGCGTCATTGTTCAGCAAGGGGGAGTGAAGACATGGCCGGAGCTGTTTCCTGCCCTCGCGCAGTGCATGGATAGCAATGACTACAACCACATGGATGGTGCGATGGATGTCTTGTTCAAGGTGACTACAACCACATGGATGGCTCCTATCCATGGCAAGTCGCCCTGCTTGTCAGCTAATTCTATTTCACCGTCTCCTTGTTATGTGTTTAATGTGGCTTTTCTTCGTTTGTCTTTCTGTCTCACGGTTTTTCTGTCTCTGTCTCTCTGTCTCTGTCTCTGTGTCTCTCTCTGTCTCTGTCTGTGAGTTGTACTGCTTGTCAACTTGGCAAGTCGCCGACTAATTCTGTTTCAACCTAGGCTAACAGAGTGGCCCGGGTCCACTTTCTTTTAAAATATTTTGTTTTTAACTTTTTAATTTTTTTTTCTCCCCTTCACAGTGAGAGGAAACTATGCTTGCAGGGGTCCCCTCTAGATAGCCTTAGGAGTAGGTAGTGAAAGGCGAAAACAGAAGTTGAGAGAAGAATATAGAAATATATTTTTTTTAATTAAAAAAATTAAGAAATAAAAATTCTATTTTAGATTTGGTAAAGAATTTCGATGTGAGCCTGAGGCAAACGTTGTTCAGGTTATTTTTCTGGATAACATAGTTTTTTTCGGATTTTTTTTGTTTTTTTAATGTTTTTCTGTTCACTGGTCCTTGCACGGCCGGGCCGCCCGGGAAGATAGGGTGACCAGGGCGGCCCGGCTGGTAGCCTAGGATTCAACATGTTTTCTTTTCCTTACTGTGGCTTTTCCTCTTCCTCTCGTTCTGTCTCTCTGTCTCTCTGTTTTGAGCTTTGATGTGGCCCTTCCTCCTCTCTCTGTCTTTAAGTTTCTGAGGGTCAGTATGTCTGTTTTGACATTTCTCAGTCTCTTTTTTTTGGTGTATGCCTTTTGTTTCGACATTTCCTCTTTTCCTTACTGCTGCTTTTACTCCTCTCTCTCTCTCTCTCTTAGACTATTTGGTGAATCATGGTGCTAAGATACCAGTTTTTGTTTGTTGTGGTGTAGATCTGCGAGGACATGCCAGAACAGCTCGATGTTGATGTTCCAGGATTGCCGGAAACCCCAATTAATGCTTTTCTCCCACGTTTGCTGAAGGTGAGTGCATTGTGTTTCTGCGGACAAAATGCTGTCCTGTCAAACCGTTCCTGAAGTCTTGAAAGAAAGAGTTATGACTTAGCCTTGGAAGTATGCATAAGATGAGAGAGAGGTGCATTCTCAGTGTGTATTGTCTTTTCTTTTCCTTCCCCTGTCCAATAGATTACTCCTTTGACAGCGTTCTATGGTACTCACTTTGTTGCTTGTATGCTTACCTGTGCCTGCATGCATGTGTGACATTGCGTGTGTGCGTGCATGCATATGTGCCACACACACACACACACACACACACACACAGAGAGAGAGAGAGAGAGAGAGAGAGAGAGAGAGAGAGAGTGCTTGCCTGTGCCTGCATGCATGTGTGACAATGCATGTGTGCGTGCATGCATATGTGACACACAGAGAGAGAGAGGGGGGGGGGGGGGGGGGCGAGGTTAGAGGACGGTTGTGCAGGGATCAGGGAAGCACTGGAGCTATGGGAATTAGGGTCTGTCCTCAATACTTGAAGAGTTAGCTGCCAAGACATTCGGCAGATCTCTACCCTGGTTCAAACTGCCCGGTAAAGCCATCAGCAGATGTCCACCCTGGTTCAAACTGCCCGATGAAACCAGCAGCAGATCTCCACCCTGGTTCGAACTCCCACAATCCAATGAAGATTGCGGTTGTGGGAGTTTGAACCAGGGTGGAGATCTGCTGATGGTTTTATCAGGCAACATAAGGAACTCGTTTATTGTATACCATTAATTAATAATTTAATAGTTACCCCTGTATTTTTTTAATACTAAAACCCAGTTTTTGTGATGTCAGATATTTTCATGGGATGGCTTCCGAACTTTTTTTGGCTTCTGAACTTATGGAGTGTGTGGGTGAAATGTGGAATGAAAAGGGAATGAAGTGAAAACGTGCATCTGCCTTGAATAATCTCTCAGCTGTGCTGATGACGTTACACCATGCATGCTCCGGTGATCTAAGAGGGAAATGGCGTGAGGAACACTGTTTTTGAGCCCCTGAAGTGATGCTGCTGAGCCCAAGGAAAAGGCGTTATGACGTAGCAGAGAGCGTGCCCCTATGTGAGCACGCATGACCGGGTACAGTTGCATGCATATGACGTAACTGGTCATTTATTTCCACTTGATTCAAAATGGAATGGGTTTTAGCAGCCCACAAGATCATTCATTTCGACGTTGTTGGCCTTCACAAACTGAGAAAAATTGTGTATCTTGTGGACACCTGAGACTGACCCTGTTCTGACTTGGCTGAGACTGACCCTGCTCTGACTTGGCTGAGACTGACCCTGTTCTGACTGTGCCCAGTCAGATTAAAATTTTTGGGTCCCATTGGTGCCGCTGCAGTTGTTTTTGTCATCTCCCTGAGTGTGGCTACCTCTCCACGACGTCAGTCATTTCCGCTTGCCGTTTTTTTTTTTTGAAGGCTAATTCTTTAAGCCCAACCAATTCAATTACCTGTCGAATCTGGACAGGACGGCCTCTCAGGCCTTTTTTATTGTCATTATAGTATTACGGGGAACCCCGTAGCAGCCACATCCATGCTCAAGCCTCCAACGAGGGAACATGTGGGAGCTGCGCCCACCAACAGGTGCGAGGCACAGTGACTGGCCCATCGAAGAAGCTCGGTCCTGATGCTACCGGCTGACCCGTGGCCAGTATCGCCCACCTGCTGTAGCAGGTATCGCACCTGTTGGTGGACTGCAATCATGAACACTTCTTTTTTTTATAGAAAAATTGGCCAGTAAGGGTCAGGTGTTTGGGTGCCTGCTGTGCTGTAGTTTTTTTTTTTTTTTCCTGTTTAGTGTGGTCACTCCATGGAATTACTTTTCAAGAAAGTGATTTTGCTGCACTCCGTCTATCGTCTATTCTGTCTGCTGATCTCGTTTTCCATTTCAACCTTCGCTTTGGCGATTGGCGATGTAAAATGTTTTGACATTTTATATAAGATTGTTCTTGGTGTTTGTTTATGTCTTTATGTTTGCAGTTTTGCACATCCCAGCATGCAAATTTGAGGAAGCTGGCAGTTGGAACAGTAAATCAGTTCATCCTGCATATGCCCAGGGTGAGTCATGAGCTCCTCTTCTCATCTGATTGACCCTCTTCTCCCTGTCCTTATTCCAGCTTGCCCCCTCCGCCCTCCTTCCTCTTTTTTCTCAGATCCCTTGCTAGAACGGTGAATGTATGAGGGCAAGTTCTTTCACGTAATTCATTTGGTCTTTTCAGGTTTCATGAGTAGTCAAACAAGGCCCTCAGATTGAGAGTTCTTTTCTTTACTGCCAAAAAAATTGTCAGTTGTACATTGGTCTGAAGTCGGAACGTATTCGTCGACTCGCACAGTCGTTCTGGGCATAGTCATTTTAGGCAGAGGAGAACATCCGTTCTGGAGGAAGCCGTGCATTGATCTGACTAATCGTGCCCTTTTGAGCCTTTGGATTTATATTATTACAGTAGTATGGGTAAGAAATGGGTACAACGGAGGCCAAGCTTACATACTTCTTGTGCAGAATCTGGCCACAATTGCGGTCAAATGCAGTCTAGAATGAGTGCTGGTAGACATCCTAAAACTTTCAGCAGGAGGGAAAAAATTAGTCCCAAGACTACCTTCACATACCCTTTCCTGCAGAATCTGAGGACAATCCGGTTGAATACAGCCTAGAAACATCCCTTACGGGGTAAGAAATTGGTACAACCGAGGCCATCCTTACTACTTTTTGTGGAGAATTTGGCTACAATTGTAGTCAGGTACAGTCCAGAAAGTTTGAGTGTACTCAGTCATGTTAAGACTTTTGGCATGAGGGGAAAAAAAAAATAGTGCGACCAAGACGACCATCACAATCGACATTCTTGAATGAAGCAAGGCTGGGCCGCTGGGCTGGCAACCGGGCGAATCAGCGCCCCCGGTCCCAGGGGAATTAGTGGGATGTTCAGGGAGGTTTTTCTTTCAGGGGCAGGGGTCAAACAAACAAGCTTATGTGGCCCCCCCCCCCCCCCCTTCCCCACCTCCCTCCTGTCCCCCCTTGGCCCAAAAAATTCAATTCAGTGCATCTTGGACACACCATCACATATATCAATACCTCAGAGGCTGAATGAGATATGTTGGAAAAAGGACCTTGCCAGCCCTGCAGTCCGAAACTTGTCGCCACAAGAAAACAAGAGGACGAAACGTTTAACGGTGGGCCCGCGGTTGATGAATTCGATCAGCGGTCGCGTTTTTGTTTTGCACCTCCAGAATTTGGGGTGTCAGACCTGCGGCCCAAGTGCCCATGTGCAGGTGCTTTAAAGCTCTTCCAGAGTATAACTCGACAGCAAAAGAAGTTCAGGTCTCAGCTTGTGCAGGCAGGAGCGTTTTCTGTTTGTTTTCTTTTTACATACGGTGGGTCATCGGTCCGGAAGTACCTTGCCTGGCAGCGTGTCCAGATATACATGTAGTCGTTCGAGGATCATTCTTGGGCTCGCACCTCGGACAGCATTGTTACTTCACGAGCCGAAACCCAAACCCAAAAAGTCGTGGGTTCAGGTCTGAGCTCACGCAGGGAGGGCGTTTTCTGTTTCTTTTTTTCCCTTCCTATATATGGTGGGTCATCAGTCAGAAAGTATCTTGCCTGGCAGTCCGTCCAGGTACATGTAGTGGTTCCAGGTTTGTTCTTGGGCGTGCACCTCGGACAGCATTGTTACTTGATGAGCTGAAACCCAAACCCATAACTTTTTCCCGAGAGTGTAGGGACATCGCAGAAGCACATAATCTCAGCAGAGCCACTTCAACAACATATCATTGTCCTCCTGGCTCAGGGTGGGCGAGTATCAGGACCTGACAATTACATCTGGTCCATGGTCCATTGGACAACATGATGCCAAATTGAAAAACGCGGCCTATTGGACCCCGCATCTTGAAAGTAATACGCAGTGGTTTTCTGCCACCGATTTGTGAAGATCAGCGGCGGAGATCCTCCGTCCGTTCTTTTCAAGTGAGTGAGGTCCAAGAGGCCTCAATCCTTTTTTTTGTGAGGCTGGCCAATCGAGGGGATGCCCGTGACTCCTCAGTACCACCACCCCCCAGCGTGATCTGCTGGATTCGACTGGGGGTCTGCCAGGCCTGTCGACCGCCCGGTCGGACTGGCAGGCTCCCAGTCGGGGGAGGGGCCCGCGGTCCAACCGGGGCAAGGCATGCCATTTATGGGAAACAAAATGGTCACTATGAGGAGAAGATGCAGGAAACAAGTGAACGAAAGCAGGGCTGTATGTGGAGAAGGGGTAGCAATGGAGAGACGTAATGGAAGCCAAGGTATTATAGCACCCGGTGTGTGGAGAAGCGGTAGCAATGCCGAGACATAATGTGAAGAAAGGTAGCGAATGTCCCTTACGCTTCTTAAAGAAGACGCTTCTTAAAGAAATAGCGGGTCTCGCGTGACGCTCTCTTGCGCGAGACCTGCTTCGCTGGCGTTGGGAAAAAAAGCCTGGGGGACCGAGGCCGGGCCCAACCAATAGCCGGCTGCTATATGCGTCACGAAGTTTCTGGAGTGTTGGTCCGTGCAGAAAGAACAGGGGAAGAGGTCCAGTGCTAATCCTGTTCTTTTTTCTCTGTAGACGGAGTAAGGGTCAATGTGTATATTTGCTTCGTTTTGGTTTTGTCGTTTTCCGAGCACGTAGATTTGTTGAGGGTCGGTTTCTGTTGTTATTTTTTGGGGGGCCGTTTCCGCTTTTTGCTTTTTGGGGACCATTTTGCGATCTACTCGTTTCATCCGTGTGTGGTGGGGGCCATGCTTACTGCGGTGTATCTTTCCATGTTCTAGCACAAGATTCAGTCTCGTTTTGAAGATTTGTTTAGTAGTGGAGGCCCTTTTTCAAGGGGATTGCGGCACTTGTCTCAAAATCTGCAAAACGAGACTGAATTTTGCACTAGAATACACCACCATATTTTGCCTTTTGTGCATGTGGAGAGTAGTGGAGGGAGGCTCTAATAGTGGGCTTAATCCCTGCCACCCACCTCCGGCACTCTTGGTGCTAACCAACTGAGATAGTTGGCTTGCTCCCCCTGTTCGGTATTGGTAGGGCTGTTGGCCATCACAGGTATGCGTGCGAGAGTATCGATTGCCTGTCGTGTGTGGGCCATAGACACTTCTGTTACTCGATGGGGGCTGGGGAAGTATAAGGGAGGTGCAGCTACTGGCAAAATGTTCGGTCTATGCGTTAGCCACCCCCATGCGTCCTCACTGTCGGCCCCGCCCTATTCCCTGACCACCGCTGATTAGGATGAGGGGCAACATGCTTCCCCTTAGACCACAACTTCCCCCGTGGGGACCGGTCGCACAGTGTGGAGAGCCGACAGAGCGGCGAAAATGGAAATTGCATCTAATTGCCACCACGACTGATTTTGTGGTTAAAACGATTAAAAAAAAAAAGAATTAAAATATTTTCCCTGAAAAGATCATGGCGAAATCTATGCCCCCTCCACTATTCAGCTTTTTTAATGTATTCTTCTGAGCGTGAAAAATCGCTGAAATCGGGTTACTTTTTCCGTTGGCCCACACGTCATAGAGTGGCAAAAATGAAAAAGGAGAGGAATCGGCATGACATTTATTTCATGGTCTAAATGTCTTTTTTTTCTAATGTTTCTCCTTGAAAGATCTAAACCAAATCTACAGACCCTCCAATTTTCAGGGGTTTTAAACCACCACTACCTCCGACCCTGTTTTTGCCGAACCTGAATTTCATTGCGCGCCGAGTTTTGCGGAGGCTGGGTCCCTTAGTTATTCCTTTTCTGGTACTCACGGCAGTGACAGCTGGAAAAGAACCAAAAAAAAAAAGAAGGAAAAAAAAAAGAAACTTCCCTAAGGCCGTGATAGCCATCAGATACATTCTCTGAGGTGCTTTTGAGACTGTGCCCTCAGTGATGGTGTGTATCCCATGAAAATCAAATGAAGAGCAAAAAAAATAAAAGAAATTCCGTAATGCTGGAATTGGAGTCCGATAAGGGACGCCACAGTACTGGTGCCCTTCGTGGAGTCCTTCCTGCCTCACTGGCAGGGCACAAACAGGACAATAAGACAAGAAAAACAAAAACAAAAACATTTTTGCAGTCATGTTCCACACATACTGACCAGATACATACCTCGAAGCAGTGGTGTTACTTCCACCCCTTTGAGGACCTTCCACGACGAGAACAAATGAAGAGCAAAAAACAAAAAAAAATCTCCCCTTTTGCTGTGATCAGGGTATGATACAGGACACATCAGTGACAGTGTGAATATGACGTGAGTGAGGCAGTCACCACCTGTCTGGTGTGGAATCCGCCCTGCCTCACTGGCAGGGCACGAGAAGGAGACAAAACGGAACAACAGCACGCAGGTTCCACACATACTGGCCAGTTGCATTCCTCGAAGCACTCGTGTGAATTCCACGATCGCGTGACTTCTCCGATGTTGCGGGATTCCAAGCTCAGTTTTTTTTTTCCCCTCTTACAGGGCCTGCGGGGTCCCAATCTTTTTTTTTTTTTTTTCGTTTCTATCGACGGGGCCTCCCCGGGCTGTATTTCAACTGTTAAGGGGGTGCTCGCCTTTTTCTGTTTTCGTCTGCCGTCTTTTTCGGGCGTTCGTTTCCTCTTTTTTGCTTTCTTTTTTTTCCCGTTCTCGCCACATTCATGCCCAGCTATGTGTCTATGCCGTTTAGGTATTTGTTTTCCTTGAAGCTCCGGTCTGTGTTTCTGGTTATGCTTCTCTCTGGTGCTGTTATCGTTTTTCTTACATGCTTTGTGTTGATGGACTTGCCTTTGTTTCATGGCGGTTGCCGTCACAGGCTCTTGTAGTGAACATGGACAAGTATTTGCAAAGCCTGTTTACACTCGCGACCGATCCGTCTGCGGAAGTGCGAAAGTTGGTACGTATTCATTTGGTCATCGAATGCAAAAGCGCAACATATTGCCAGTGGGCTGGATTTGTGTTCGTCTCTCTACCTCACTCAGTATGCTTGTGTGTTGCTGTCAGGGTTTTGCTGTCCGTGGGTTCTGCAATTTCTTAGACGAAAATGCAAAGAGCTTTAGTCTGTGATGGCATGTCTGTGTTCGGAGTCAGTCACCTTGTAGTTGCAGGCTGTGGTGAGCCTTGCCAGTCTGACCACTGTTCAGTTCTCATGCATTTATCCGCTGCGCTGCTCCTGCCACTTTTGGCGATGCGCATAATGGTTTTGTGGCGCAGTGCAGGGGAGTCGGTATTTTTGTCCGTATTTCTTTCCTTCAGCATGTTGTGCTGCATGCATGCCCTTTGTTCGACCAGTTCTTAGACGGCCTCTTTATTTTTGTAAATGGCTTTTCATTCTCGAGTTTTCTTTTGTGTTACGATGCTTTCGCCTGCCGCATTCTTGTGCTTGGCTTTTGGCAATGCACATAGTGGTTTTGGTGCCCACTGCACGGGAGTTGGTATCTTTGTCCGTGTTTCTTTCCTTCAGCATGTTGTGTTCCTTCAGCATGTTGTGTTCCTTCAGCATGTTGTGCTGCATGCATGCCCTTTGTTCGACTCGTACTCGGATGACGTCTTTATTTTTGTAAATTGCTTTTCGTTCTCGAGTTTTCTTGTGTGTTACTATGCGTTTTCCTGCCGTATTCTTGTGCTTGGCTTTCCACCGGTGATGAACGAGTGAGCTCTCTTCTCACAACAACCTGTGTTTCGCTGGGGCGATTGCCAAGTGTCGACAGCCATGATCTTGCTCTCTTGTTCTTTTGTTAGTCTTTTTAATTTTTGCTCTCTTTCCTCTAGATTATTGTCTTTCTGTGCCTGGACCTTCTGTATTGTTCAACTATGCCTTTCATCCCCCCCAATGAATGGGACTCTGCTTCTCTTAGTAAGGCTTTGACGATGCATGCTATTGTCAACGGAGCGACAGACAATTTATGACAGTTTGCTGATGATTTAAATTAAAATGTTGGTCTTTGCCGCAGGTGTGTTATGGGCTTGTACAGCTGTTGGAGCACCATCCAGAGTACTTGCAGGTTGGAGTCTTGTCTTCGCCCTTGTAATGGACCCTATCGTAATGTCTGATGTGTTCGAGATTGAAGATACGTTTGCCTAGTTTTTTTCTTTTTTCTTTCGCCCCCTGTTGGAAAGAAAAAACCTCGTATGCAAGACCGTGAGCAGAAGGTCCAAACAAAACCCATGATTTTTTTAGCTGTCATTGGCCAAACTCTTTTGAATATTTTGTAGCTGTGAATGGCCTTAGAAGAAAAGTCTGTGGGCTTACAACGATGACAGGCCAGCTCTTCGGAATTCTTTCACCTAGGATTGTTCTGCGGGGGCTCTTGTAACGCAATGGGGACAGAGTTTCCACTGCTGGGAGGCATGCAGTCAGAGAGAGGAGGGGGGGGGGAGTGGAAGGGGTCAAAGGTGTGTCCTGTTCTGCTCCACCTGGTAGTAGAGGAAGTCTAATGCAACAATGGCACAATAGATAACTGGCAGGCGGTTTGAGATTAACAATGAGGAGTTGTTGGTATTGCAGTTTGGAGTTATCCTGCCAGTTTGATGGGAAGCTTGTATTCATCTTCGCTTGTGGTTTGTACGTGAAATACTGCTGGACAGTCTTTTCTCGCTTGTTTCAAGGGCACGGTCTGTAGCTCTGGTTGATGTGTGATGGATGTGGATGGGAGAGGGTGTCAAGGGTTGGTCCACCCCAATTGTGTGCTGCCAGGAATGTTGTTCACACCTCGTTGCTACGTCTACCTTTCTCTCTGTTTGTTCGTGCTGAGGCTCTGGATTCGTGTGATTGACTGACCATGTTGTCACTGATTTGCTTGCAAATACGATTTGCGGTGTATTGGGGAGGTGGTGTTTATGCGTTTCATAGATCATCCCAGCTTGTGAATATGGTTGTGTACATTCTTTTGATCGTTCAATTGTTGTACTCGAACTGACGACGCGGTTCTTGGTGACAATGTCTTGTGTCTGTCCACAGCCTCACATGCCAAACGTCATCGAGTACATGTTGCAAGCCAATCAGGTAATTCTCGTCTGATAGAGGTTAAATGCAGATCTAAGGCAAATTAGCGAACGTAACGTTAGGATGCACACTGGTACACTTTGTTAAACGCCTGCTGGTTTCAATGTGCATTGATACCTTTTTGACACTGATGTATAGTCAACATTGTGGGATTGTATGTCACTGTCTGCCTGGCCGTCTGTCTGTGTCTGTCTGTCCGTCTGTTCGTCTCGTTCAGTTTGTCAGTCAGTCTGTTCGTTTGGCCACCAGCGTAGCTGCCCGTTTCTCCGGCCACCGGACCGTCATCTGTCAGTTTGGCTGCCCTCATGCCCGTCAGTCCATCTTCCTGCCTGCCTGTTGGTCTGTCCGTCCGTCTTCCACCTGCCGGTTTGTCCGCCTGCCCATCCGTTTGTCCATCCGTCGGTTTGTCTTTTGATGTGTGTGAGCATACATCTATCTGTCTACCTGTCAGTACTTCAGTCTCTCGCTCAGTCTTCCTTCCTGTCTGTCTGTTATCTCTCTTCTCTCTCTCTCTCTCTCTCCCCTCCAGTCTTCAATACGGATTTGTGGGTTTTGACGTTCTCTACACTTTCATCGCGATTTTGTTTGCCATGTTTCCCTATTCGACCTGCTAAAGCTGTTTTTTGTTTGCAATGTTGCCCTGATTTCCTTGATTTCTATCTGCAATGTTTCTCCGACCTTTTTGCTTAAACCATAGTTAAATATTCATCCTCTGTGATGGATACCATTCTCATTTCTTTGCCTTTACCTTTCGAAGTAAGGTTTGGTTCATGCAATTTTTCCATTCGGCACTTACCAATGGTGTAAATCTTTCTGACACGTGTGAACTGCCACTGCTGTTTTCTGCATTCGTACATCCCCGGAACAGCTCCCTCCTCCCTCTCCTAACCATTTAATCCTCTTTCTGTACTTGTTCATGCGAGTGAAGTCGCAGTGGTCTATCTTGTCCCTGTCGCACCGTCCAGCCAAACTTGGGAATTGAAATCCAGCCAATCTGAAAAATTTGTGCGCTTACCGGACCACAATGGCTTGTGGCGCCAGCCAAAAAGGGGAAAAAAAAGTGTGCTGCTGGCGAGGCGCATTTGAGTCCAGGCTCGGCAAAAAGAGGGTCGGATGTGCTGGTTCTTCAATCAGGCAAATGTTCCCTACTTTTTCATGCAAGCGGAGCCACAGTGGTCCATCTCGTTGCTATCGCACCTCCGGTACATTGCCCAGGCAAACTTGGGGGTGCCAGACCACAATGGTTTGTGGCTCCAGCCAAAAAACGGAAAAAGTAAGTGCGGTGCTGGGGTTTCTGCAAAGCTTGAGGTGCATTTGAGTCTGGCTCGGCATAAAGAGGGCCAGATGTACTGGTTCTTCAATCATGCGAATATGATGGCGGTGCTGCCTCTGGTTGCTTCCAGAACTGGGAAGCATCCAGGCCAAACTGCCATAGGTAGATAACCAAGCGAAGGGATGCAGGCTCAAATGCTACGAGGTGACCATAATAGGGAACTGAGGGACGGTAACCATGACTGGTGGCAGGCATCACAAGGGGACCTGTGGAGAACACAGTGTTTTCCCCTTAATCGGACACTTTGTGTCGAGGTCGCAGCTGGCTCTGGAAGCCTCCGCCGGGCACCTAAGAGGGAGTATTCTGGTCTGGTGTTGAGGAGCCTTGATCCGCATGGGGGTGGGCGTGGCTAGCATGCAATCTTGCTCTTGTACCTTCCATGGAGCAACTGAGCAAGTTGATAAACACACTATAGATGATGCCCCTTCTGGAGGAGGGCCTTTTCTTGTTGTAGTGAAAAAGTATTTGAAATTTGAATGATGAGAGGAGAGTGAGCTGGACTTGGACTGGCTGCAGACAATTGTCATTGCACACTGAGGCATTATGAATAGAGTTTTTGGCTCACCTTGTGCTCTAGTTTTTTCGCAAATGGTGTGATCAATGATTACACAGTGCTTTGACGTGTGTATTTGCTGCTGTTCATCTGGATCCTGCATGATTGTTCTATTGTTTGAGTGGATTGCAAGTCATTTGGGCGCAGTCGATCGTAATGTATATGATTATTTGAAGACCTTATGGGGGTTGCACCAACGCTGGGTTTGACACAGTGCTTTGGCGTTTGTATATGCTGCTGCTCATCTAGATGCTGCATGATTGTTCTATTGTTCGAGTGGATTGCATGTCATTTGGGTGCAGTCCATCGTAATGTATATGATTGTTTGAAGACCTTATGGCGGTGGCACTAACCCTGAGGTTGCCTCATCTCTTCTTGTATTCTTTGAGAGTCTTGGAACCGATCACAAATCTGAAAGTGTCGACAGCCGAGAGGCATAAGGTATGGCAACAGGTACTGAAAATGAGCCTGTGGGATTCCTTTATTACAGGATTCGAATGGCGAGGTGGCGCTTGAAGCTTGCGAATTCTGGTGAGTTTTGCTGCAAACTTTTCTTAGTAATCTTGGAAATCCCTTTACAGACTTGCAGTCAATGAGAAAGAAAGACAGATGAGAAAGCTGACATAGTTCCTTGGAAGTACATCATCCTTCACCCCTTGCTGAAAGTGACAAACTGGACAGGATTTGTTGATGATGACTTGAACTGAACCATCGATCAATCATTTGGACATGAACCATGATCGACCGGTGCATTTAGCGTACTGTTGAAACACTCAATGAAACACATGTATGAGTTTGAAGAATGCCATCTACCTTTTCTACGTTCCTGATGCACATCAATCTTTTTGTCTTTGTGTCTGATCAGTGGTCCATTTTCCAAAGATATGATTACCTCCCTTTGTGATTCTGTCCAGATGGTTACTGTCTCACGTAATATAACATACAGTCATAATTGCGGTATCTGGATTGACGCTTTTGCCAAGTACAGGCATAATCACCGTACATTCTGTTCAGGTGAAGCTGGTAGCCCGTTTCCAGAGGAAGATGCTTATATAAATATGGGACACCTGTTTTTTCAATCTGTTCTGGATGCAATGGGTGCTTAGGCTCTGGTGCACACGGACCGTGCCACAACCACTTCCTCCTGAGTGCTAGCACAGCATGCATGTACTTGTATTGCCGCACCGTCTTTTAAAACCAGGAATCCCTTCGATACTTGACAGATACAGAATTCAAAACACGGCACGCAGGAGTTGATCTAGTAATGTCCGTGTATTTTGTATTCTGATTTATCTTGTCGCTTCTGTTCCCAGAAGGTTATGTGAAGAGATGTTATTGCTCCTGTAAGATTGTCGACTTAGAGGCGTGAAAACAGGTGACATCTGCAGGCGGAGACGGACATCCGTAATGTAGGGTGCTCGGAGGGATCCTAAAGTGTGTAGGATCTCCTCTCGTTGTGTCCATTGTTGACTGAATTGGTATATAGGCATACTTGACAATGCCATCCAAGCTGTGGCAGGGGAAAGGAGATCATCGAACTTATGGGACATGCCCGTACTATGGCCAGAATGAATTCAGGGTTTAGGAGCCAAGGTAGAGGGAATTGCTGGATATGGCATTTGTTCCCAGGCGGGTAGGAACACTGAAGCGTAATAGGTAGATCTTGATGTCAATCCTCATCTCTCTCCTCTCCTGGGCATCGCATCAGTTGGTGCTTAGCTCCATAGCCTGCAGAACGCCACTTCTTGCCTGTAACGGGAAGATGCCACTTATCTGGATGCAAGAACCACAGGGCCCTCCCTTCTCTATCGTAATCAGGCTTGGATGCATTCATGCCCTTTACCGGCTAGAAGACTATCAGCATCCAGTTTGCAGATCTGAGGTCGGTTTCAGGACTATGAATTTATCCAGTGGGAGATTGCCTTGGCCTTTGTGAAAGGCAGTGGATAAGGAGGGGTAGCCAAGACTCCTTGTTTTGTACGACCTCATCTGTTTTTGTGTGGGGAGGTAAATGATTAACTGATTCTCATTCAATTCCCGATGTGCAATGAAGAGTTAATGTATCTTGATGTGTGCGTATTTCGAGACTGTAGCAAAGCATGCAAGTGGGTCAGATATCACATAGGGAGTTATCTACCTAAGTCTTAGAGGGAGCAACGAAGTGTAGTCGGTGATGAGGGGTTAGAGGGAGCAATGAAGTGTAGTCGGTGATGAGGTTAGCCTCTGCCACCATAGATCTGAATTCAAAAAAAGTTTGGAAATTTGGAATTAGAGGGAGCAACGAAGTGTAGTCGGTGATGAGGTTAGCCTCTGCCACCATTTTTGACCTCTCTAACTCCAAGTGTCTTTTCTAAGTCTGATGCGTCTCCCCCTTGCAACACAAAGCACAGTGAAGACGAGGCTTGCTGACTGGAAACAGGGCTGCATGGGCAAAGTAGCAAGCCTCTCAGAATCAACGGGTCTCTGCCTCTTGCTGCATTCCCAGGCCAGGTACACCCTCCGATCTCTTTGTCTGGAATATTCGAAGGCGTTTGAGTGATCGTGCGCAGCCATCCTAGGAAGATGATTCACTTGTGGCGTGGAGTAGCTACCGCAGAACTCAGCTTGATCGGATAACTTGATTGCAGCCCCGCGTCAACGGTCGGGCTAAGTGGCCGAACGGTTTGCAATCCCAATTTCCTGTGGTTGGGAAGGTGGTGGTCTCGAGTAGCACAGCCCAATTGGTTGGTTTCTAAGCCATTTCTGGAACAGGAAATCATCTGCACTGATGTTTCTTGAATTGTAGGGCATGTTCCGTCGCTCTGAAAGTTTCTATCGTACTTGGACTGTGCATGGATCTGCTTAGTATAGCAATTGTACTGCGAAGGAGTAGTCTGGGAGACTTCCAACCTTAGGGCTGTTAAAAGTTGCAGACAAATCCTCACAGCACAAAGTTCCTTAAGGGGGCGCATACTGGGAAAGGACGGACATTTGCAGGATAAACATATTTGTAGGATGGGACACTGATGCTGAAGAAGACGTTGGCGCTATGGTATTTAGAGAAGTCTGACGATACAAGCAAATCAGCACCATGTAACTTGTAAGCTTATTCATTTCCATGCAGTTGAGATCAGCTGGCATAGAGACAGAGACATCCTACAATCGTGGGAGAGGACGGACATTTGCAGGACAAACATATTTGTAGGACACTGATGCTGCAGAAGACTTTGGTCCTATGGTGTTTAGAGAAATCCAACGATACAAGCGCTTATTCATTTCCATGCAGTTGAGATCAGCTGGCACAGAAACAGAGACATCCTACAGTGGGACTTAAGGCAAGCGCTAGGAATCCAGGCAGTATTGTTGGCATCAGCAAATGTCATGTCTGGTGCAGTACAAAGCTCGAGTCATGCAACTAGGAATACTCGGCTTGCAAGAGTTAGGAATCCGGGCAGTACTGTTGACGTCAGGAAATGTCATGCCTACTAGGCTTGAGGTGGCCAGTTGGTCGTAAGGGTCTCGCCTGTTCAGATGGACCAGAGAACTAAATATCAGAATTCCATCCTTATCTGGATGGTTGCAGTCTAGATGGGGGTTGGGGAGGCAGAGGGCATGAGAGGGGGAAAGGAAGAGAGGCGAGGGTTGTGTTCAACCCTGTTGGTTGGGAAGGCAGAGGGCATGAGAGGGGGAAAGGAAGAGAGGAGAGGGTTGTGTTCAACCCTGTTGGTCATTGTGTGTACCTTGCCGCCGTGAAAATTTTTGGAGCTTGACGACAAGAACAGTGTCTGTTCTTTGCTGTGTTTGTTGTTTGTAACTGTTTTTTTTCCTAATATGTGGAAGTTGTTTCGCTGGGTGGTACTGTCCACTTTGTTGGGAAAACCCAGATGATCATCTCTGTGAATCTGGGCCATTTCCTGGAAGGTTGCCTCTCTGTGCATAAGCCATTTGTGCAAACCCGTGTGAAACCCCTTTGTGAAAGTCAATTGATGTATGTGTTCATCATTTTACATTGGTTTACATGTTTTGCACCCATACGTGTGGAGATGGATGTTTTCAGCTATTGTCTTGGGCTTGACAATCTTTACGTCAGGATTATGAGGCGGAGGGTCACACACACACACACAGAGGGAGACAGGGAGGGGGAGAGAGAGAGAGAGAGAGAGAGGTGGGTGGTATGAACTGTATGAAGCTGGGAAATATCTTTTGGTATGCTGCCTTGAAAAGCACAGGTTGCTGGGCCATCTCACAAGTGACTGTCGGTTGGGCTTATCTGAGAACTGACTTTGGGGACTGTCGGTTGGGCTTATCTGAGAACTGACTTTTCCGGTCACTGCCCTTATGCTCTGACGTTTATGGAAGAGCAGGTGTTTATAGTGTGGTGGCTTGTTGTTTGTTTTCATAAAGTTTCATTTCTGTGTTGGCATCGCTTTGACACTGTTCTTGTTCAGACCTAGTGCATGTTATTGGGGATGATATATTTTGTGTGTGCAACTGCTTTTTTGTGAGGTGATTTTATCATGCTGGTATTTGACATGTGCTGATGACGCTCCCCCTCCCTGTCTATGTGATTGTGTTTGGCATGAAGTTCTGCACTGGAGCTGTGCATGTGAGCTGCCTCTTGCATGTGTACACTGGCCAGTGCCTTCCAATGCCATTTTTGTTAACCTCCTTTGTTGCCGTCTATCTCGGTCTTCCATATGCCTAGCGTTTGTCTGTGTGCACTTCTTTGCTCTGTCAATTGTGTATGTGGGCCTGTTTCGTGTGGACACGATTGCTGTCATGTTGTGTTGCTAGAGGCCCGTTGGCGCTCCGAGTTTTCGGATTTGCTATGTGCATGTTTCTTTGGCATATTTTCGTCTTCGTTCACCGCTTTTGGCTTGCTCTTTGATGGAGAGGCGAAGTCGGGCTAAGATAAAAGGCTCCGGTGATGAATGTCCGTTGAGTCTTCTTGAAACTAAATCCAGCATTCCATGCAGTCTTCTGTAGGCATTGTCTTCGAGAGTTGTTTTGGGAGCGGGAGTCGGGGGTCATCTGTCTCGTGTCGGAATCTTTTCCATCCATGCTGCAATGCACAAGTGGGTTTTTTGGAGGAAGGACATATCATGAAGAGATGGTTGTGGCGGCTCTGGTACTTTTTTGTGTGTCGATTGTCGGGACTTGTGTGTATTGGGATGCTTTCTTCTTTTGCATCCTCACGTGTTTGGACATGTGTCTTGGGATGCTTTCTTCTTTTGCATCCTCACGTGTTTGGACTTATGTTTTGGGATGTTTTCTTATTTTGCATCCTCACGCATTTGGTGATGTGAACGATGTGTCCCGGGTTTCTTCAAGAGTTTTCTGTCCCTTGATTTCATCGTCTTGAGTATGCCGTACCTGAGCTAGCACATTCTGTTTTCAAGCTTGCAAATGCTTGCACATTCTGTGCTCTGTCTGCTTGCCACGATCCTGCTACTGTGCTCACTTATTTGCTTATATCCATTGTTCACTCCTGTGCGTGCTATGCAATGCGAGCCTTACAGGTGATCAGTTTGTGAATCGTTTTGACAAAATGAGTTGTGGTCTGCAACCTATTCAGAGGGCTGTTTGCTGTTACACGTGATGGAGCCTGTGAAGTGAAATTGGTGTGGCAGTGGAGGTGTTTTGTGCTTCCCCTGTTAACTCTTTTCTTATCTGTTCTGGCTTTCCGATTTCTCCGAAACCGTTTCTTGGTGTTCCTGTCTTTGCGGATTTTGGTGTTGAATCGCTTCGTTTCCCAAGTGTTTTAAATGCAGCGCAGTGTTGTACTCCGGGCTTGAGATGCATCCTGGATTAGGGGTTGTGAGGCTGTTGACTTGTTCTTGACCTACCTACCTCGGCTCCTGCTAATCGCACATGCTGCCCGGTTGAAGTTGCTTATTTGGGGTGTGATGAGAAATGACATACGGCTATTTTCGCGGTATGAGTCGACATCCATCATCACGAGGTGTTTCTCTTCACATCAAGACTTTTCGTGTCCATGTTGGTGTGTACATCTGTTTTTGTTGTGTTGTGGTTTTGTTGGTTAATGGAGGGACTTTTTGAGGAGAGGGGGGGTCTGGGAACATGGTGGGGCAGCTGTGTAAAGCTAGGAGGTGCAAAAGCGGTGCTGATAATTTTTCGTGTCCCGTTGAGGTGGGAGTCACATGACCAATCGTTAAATGTCCGTGTGTTTCAGGTCAGCCTTTTGTGAGGCGAGGCTACCACCGGAGTTGTTGAGAGATTCGCTCCCCAGGCTCGTTGGTGTAAGTTTTACTTCCTCGGTGACCCGGACGTCTAGAGTTATGTTTCCACATTTACTCAGTTGTAAAGCTATTGTTCTTTGTTCAGTCTTGCTCTCTAGTGGAAGTTGCATCAACAGGGTCAGGATTGGCTCAACTTCACCTGCCATCTAGTTTGTATGTACAGAGATTGGTGTGGAAACTGCAAGCACCACTTTCTTGTTGAATAGTAAAGGGTCTCCTAATTAAATCGTCAAAGAAATTGGTCAGTTAGAGGACTCGCAGATCTTTGTAGAGGGTTGTAGCTGAGTAGAGTGCGTAGACAAATTTGGTTTTGTTTGATTTCGTTGATATTGTTTTTTTTTTCCCTCCACCGAAGGGTGCACATTCATGGTCAAGGGTGCGTTACAGCCCTCTCGGGTGATTACGGGCTGGAATTTTGGTAGAACAAAATAACATGCGACAATAGACTATGTGGAACCTAGGGAGGAAGCAAGCCACCCGGGTGCGCTAGCGGTGTGTGTTGGTGATGAAGTATTGTGTGGGCTGTTGTCACGGGAAGTACTGGTAAAAAAGAAGCTAGTCCAGTGCATCCAGGGCTTAAACAAAGAGCGCTCCATGAAGCATTTGCTCGCATAAAGTAACTAGTACTCGTAATCATTCTTCATGCTCCCTTAGCCATTTTGGTTCGTGTTAGGCTGTAGAACCCTCACAGGAAGTTTCTTTGATACACATGAAATGTAGAAACACATTTGTTTTCGGCAGCTAGTATGATTCCAGTCTTTGTAGGAATGGCACTAGAGTAATGGGCCATCATGAGTAGTTTTTGCCGTGTCCGCTTTTGAAGCCCTAGGGTGTTGACAGGGAAGAAAGTGTCATATGAGAGGAAGAGTATGATCAGGCGGCGCTTTAATCCACTGTTTACATGAAGGTGGGAGCCTGATTCGTTGCCACGCTACCCTTGACCATGAATTTTGGTGGAGGAGGGAGTTGTCCAAGGGTGGTGCGATAGACCTGACCTGAATCTCGTGGCCGTATAGGGTGTTGAAACTTTTGCTGAGAGGAACCAAAATGTCAGATGAGAGGAAGAGTATCAAATGTAAGCTGCCGCCGCTTAAACGGTCAATATACGGGCGCCCCAGCCTTGTGGAAATTTGTTCGCCGCCGACACGGAAAATGTTGCTGACCTTGGGACTAGTAGACCACAGTGGCTGGCTGCATCTGCCAAAAAAGAGAACAAGTTCGCTGCTGGTGGTTTGGAAAAGCTTTGCGTGCAATGCAGCGCCTCCTGGCGAGGGTGTACGGGTTGCTTGAAGCAGTGTTTAAATGAAGTGTGGAATCGAGTCTGCTGGGCTCCCCTGCGATATAGACAGAAGTAGAAGCAAGGGCGGGTTGAACGAACATTCTTGTGCAATGACCCTGGATGTCTTCAGTTACACCGCTAAAGTGGATGTCGGTCGAGTATGTGCATGAACGACTCTGAAATGGCCAGTACGTTGCCCGGGCAAACTTGAGAATCATAATCCGAGAAATTTGGAGGGGTAGGGCTACTGAACAAAACGAGAGATGGTTAATGGAAGGCCCCAAAATCCGGCTCTTTTGCCGCATCACCACACGCAATGTCGTCGAAAATTTTGCGAACAAACAATGCAGGCTTATAATACAAACATAAAGAAACCAAACAGGCAAAACAAAAACCAAACAGAACAAACTCAAAAGCACTATAGAATCCTGTTCCGAGGTGCTGGTCCAAATACTTAGAAACTGAATACAGATATACCCTAAAGCACATGCATATCACACGGAAAAAAAAACAAGAGAACAAGCAAAAATTCAGGGAAATATGGCAGTTTCGGTGAAAATATTGCCGAAAATGACAGCACCTATTAACCACTAGTGACCAAAACTGGTTGGCGACGCATGCCAAAAGAAATGAAAAAGGGCTGCACTGGCGTTCTGGCAAAGCTTGGTGCCCAGTAGTATTCTGCCTCGGCAAAACGAGGCTCGGATGTACTGGTGTAAGTTTCTTGTGCCGCATCACCACAATCGTTGCCCTCCCCTCTTAAGTGTCGTTACAGATTTCTGAAGGGGAAAAAAACTACATTGGAGAGATTTTTGATACGGCTTCACCCTTCCTCACTTATGAGCTCACCACTGAGGAGGAAAGAGAATTTGGTGCTTGTATTCACGGAACTGGGCGTACTTTTCCAGGAGTAGCCATTCTGACAGGAGCAGCCATCAGGAATCCCATTCGACCATTCCCACCGAAAGACTGAATGTGGGTTTGCACACGGCCCAGGCGCACTGTCTATGGTGGATATGCATATGCCAAGGTTAATTGGGACAGAGGTGAATATGGAATGAGTTGTAGTTATATACTCTCCTTTGATTACAACTTGGACAGTTGTGCGCGCAGCAGCACTGGCCAAACACCAACATTTTCAATGCATAGAGATGGCCAAGGAGTCCAGATGCTTTCAAAGTGTTGTTGGTGTTTGGCGAGCGGGCTGTGGTGACGCCCAATGTCATGCTGACGTTGCGAGCGGGCTGTGGTGACGCCCAATGTCATGCTGACGTTGCAAGCGGGCTGTGGTGACGCCCAATGTCATGCTGACGTTGATCACCCACCTGATAATGTCATGAATTCTGCAGTGACTTTTGACAGCGGTCACATTATTGCTCGGGTGTTCCGAACATGTAGACATTAACCTCGGGGATCAGCAGAGAGTCGCACACACTAGAACTCCAGTTGAGGAAACTTCTAGAACTCCAGGGCTACGTCTCTGCATCGTCATGTCCCTCTCAGCGCTCTTGCGGCGATAGTAAAAGAGCCATCTTGCAGATTGCCAGTGGAGGGACCGTGGATAATTCATGGAATGAGTGAACCTCATAGTGAGAGATCCACCGTAGGAGCATGTTGTTTCGTTTTTTTTTCAATATTCCGAGGATGTATGGTTGTGTGTCCCTTTGGTCTTCAAATATGAAGCTCTGATGTTTAGTTGAAATTTGCCCTTTCTACAGTTACTTGAGCTGCTCCGTTTGATGAATGTTTCACAGTGGGGTTGCGTGGGGACCAAGCAGAGGTAGTGTTTGGCACAGCTGCGATTATGACGACCTGATGTGAATTGTTGATATATGGCGTATATGATTAAAATTCCGCAGTGGGAGCCTGTATTGGTGTTTGCACAACTTTGAGTGAGGTTGAGCATGCAGCTGATTGCATGGGATCGGGAGGACGGGGGCAAAGAATGAGAGATTGGTGGTATATGGGAGGTTGGCTTGCATGAGGTACCTGTTCGTTGAAACATTTGTGGCAGGTGTAATGTTGCCCTGCTTTTATTGGGGTTGTGCTGAACTTCTATGTCAAGTCCACGGTTGCATGGTTTGTTCTTTACAATCAGTTGTCGGTGGTTGCTCTGTGCAGGTGTTGCTTAGTAATATGGTGTATGCTGATGATGACGAAGCCCTGCTATCTGCAGAACAAGTGAGTGTGGCTAGCTGGAAGTTACCTTGACGAGGAAGCAGTGGGGTTTGTGTGGTGGAACTTCAAAACATGTGCCTGGGTTGTGTTTCCCGGTATATTTTTTGTCGTGTGCAATAATTGACCTCCTGGCACACAGTCCCCGTGCTATTGCTTTCTTTGGAGGCGCCCCACGATGGGAAGCTGTGAGGACTGAGAAGGGGCAGGATGGGATCCCTTTTCCCGATTTTCCTTCTGTTCAGCGTAAGCTTGGTCCCCATCATCCCAACCTCGCTGAGCTGCCAGGAAGGAATATGGGAAAATATGATTCCGATCTCATCTCGAACTGGGCTTGTTATATATAAATGCTGTTAGGGTATCAGTTGGGAAGTGATTGCCTCACCAAATAGCTAATCAGACAACTCTTTCGTAGGGTGGATTCCTCCTTCCACTCCTCAGTTCATGGGGTATAAGCAGCCGTTTCCAGTTGTTAGCCCCCACCCAAGGGCAAGGCCTTATGCGTTAATCACCCGTCCGCCACTTGGTATATTGATTGAGAAACCAATCAATATATTCTGTTGGACTTGTTGCTGGTTTTGTTGACATGGTACGTGCAACTTGTGCTTCTTGTCAGCTACTGGAAGGGGTCAAGGAGGGAGCAAGGGATGTTGGAAGTTTGTGAGGCTAGAAAAGGGAAAGCCCAGTCTGCGTTTTGCTCTCGCTCCACATAGAATCCCATGGTAGCTTGCACAAAACACGGACTGCATGAAGTTAATGCATGGCATGTTTGGAACGGCAAAGCCTATAATTGCATGAGTTGGTGAGGAGTTTGGTCAGAGGCAGGATCTTGGAGAGGAGGAGGAGAGGCAAAGGAAGCTGAAGAGGTGTAGAAAAGATGACAGAAGCGGTGAGGAGGAAGAGGAGCAAAGGAAAAGGAAGATGAGGCAACCGAAGTAGATGAGGAAGAGGAAGGAGGGAGAAAGTAGAGAAGGGAGGATGGAACAGTATGTACAGCCTAGAGGATGGTTGTGCAGTTTTGCCTAGGACGGGGTGTCGGACCCCAGACGGTAGAGACAGCAAAAACGTGGGGAGGTGTACAAAAGGGGGCAGATGGACAGAGGAGAAGAGCTTTTGTTGTTGTCGTGGCAAGTTTTTGATACTCTGGTAAAATTGGAACGATACAGAGCATGTGTGTTTTGGAACGTCCGTTAAAATTGGAAGGATACAGAGAAGATTAGCATATTCGCTGCGTAAAAATGACATTCATAAATCGAGGAATGGTTAACTCTTTTTAAAGGATTAGAAAAACACGTTGACCCGCGGTGGTGATGCCATGGTGCAGCGAAGGGGATGATGGGAAAAAGGTGAAGAGAGGGAAAACACCAGCAGAGATTTGCACAATAAATGAACTTTGACAGGAACACTCACACTTCAGAGCATAAATAAGAGAACGCCTGCACAGTCAACACAAGAAAAGAGAAGCTGAATGATCGTTGTTGTGTGATGGGCTTTGGAGCTGTCGAAGACGAGGCGGCGAAGCTGATGGTTATGCCAGGGGTGTGGAAGCTGTTGCCACTTTTATCCCCATGGATGAGGTGACGTTGCCGAATTTGTCATCAGTCCGATCATGCTTGAAGTCGGGGGAGATGTGTCATCTTCGCCTCCGGAGATCAGTTTGCACCTGCAAATAGAAAACCGAAGGGCAAAAAACAGCCAGGCAGCCAGTAGCCAAAAGAAGAGGAACCCCAAAGTGTAGATGTGGTAGACTTCCTTTTGGCCACAGATGGGTGTGGCCTGTGTGATGGACAGCGCCATTGGACCAGGCAGCACCGTGTGAATAGTAGAAACAGACACAAGCGCACAATAAGAAGAAAGACCTCAGCGAAAAAACAAAACAAAATATGCCGTTGGTGATACTATGCAGCTCAGGTAATCATCACTGTTATGGCTATCATCATCATCAGTGCACAAATTGGCAATGTATCGTATTCTTCCTCCTTCAGCGTCATCATTGCAGTCATTATAATCACTATCATCATCATCATTGGGGTAGGGACAGTCATCCTGTTCTCACTTTCTTTTGATCACACTCGTCCTCGGTTGCGGTTCCCCCCCCGCCTCCACCTCTTTGCCCCATCCGCATCTGGTTCTGTCGTCATCACCACACAACTCTATCACAATCGCCTCCCTTCCGCTTCTTCGAACTACTGCTTCCTGTGATGCCCCATGTTTTTCTTCTTCATCCTCCCCCCTCCGCCCATTCCATTCTTGCAATATCCTGATTGCACTCTCCCGCGGCGTAAAAGGAAAGGAGAGTCGTGTCCCTCTCCCTCGCACCCCTCTTTGTCTCTTACAGTCCCTATCTCAACACTTCATTCGCTTGTTGTGTAGTGATTCGGATCCCAACTCTCTCTCTCTCTCTCTCTCTCGTCCCTATCTCTCGACCGTTCAAAAAGAGATAACACATCGACATGACCGATGGTCTATGATGAAGAGAGGAGAAGGGGGTTATGGAAGATATTGGTCCATCCCCGTCATCACCACCATCATCCGCGTGCACTCCTCTTCCTCAGCGTCATCATCGACTGTCTTCTTCTTGCTTATGCTCGTTCTTCCTCGTCCACATGGCCCGAGCTTCTCCTCCCCTGACATCACACACACACACACACACACACACACACACACACACACACACACACACACACAGAGAGAGAGAGAGAGAGAACCTTTGTCCACATGGCCCAATCTTCCCCTCCCCTGACATCAGAGTGAGAGAGAGAGAGAGAGAGTACCTTCGTCACCCGTCATGGATTAACAAGTGTCCACAAAGCATGTCGCTGCGCCAAAGCTGTTTCACACAACAAGCACGATTGTCCACAGCGTGGCCCTTCGAAGCACAATGAAACACAGTCACGGGCATGAACCACACCGGCGCACGTATGTAGACTCCCCAATGGCCATTTCCTAAAGTGCGCCACAGGCCCGACACGCCGGTTCTTCGTGAACTCAATCCTTTGAGAGTCATTGAGACAAAAAAAACAAAGAAAAAGGCGACGTGGCTGAGAAATAAAAACAGGATGTGCATGACCGTCTGGCCAGCCTGGCCCCGATTCAGGAGGTATATAGAAATGCATGCATCAAGTGCTTGGATGGGCTTACACAATTTCCATTCCCATGTGAACAAAACGTCCGGCATGTAGATCATGAGTCCAACATACTGGTCTGCATCAGTATATTTTGGGGTCGATGTGAACACGTTTTCAGGATGTGCGTTGTGAATGGTGATTGTTTTGAGCCGAGATTGAATAGTCGCCCCTGGTGTACGTATTCAATTTTTTTGCCCCTTCTGGATTATGCATTGTGCTTGTTATCGTTTCTGGTTTTGCTCATTTTAAAGAGTGGTATTTTTCTCATGACAATGTCAGACAATTGACCTGTTGGCTCTGCTCTGCACTTTTGCATGTCCTGTCATTGATGGTGCTTTTCTGCAGCAGGATGATAATGTACCAGATAGAGAACAGGTACGTACAGTGTGGATATGGATTCTGTCAGTCCGTGAATGTTTTCGGGTTGGCGTATTCTCCTGATCCTCATATGTCTGTGAGTGACCTCTTGCATCGAAAGAATGCTGATAAGCTCTCAGAATGAATACGCATACTCAGTCCAAGAGGTCATTGCTTCAGTAAGTTACGAGGGTCTGAGGAGATTTGTTGTGATTTCACCTGCCCAAACAAACACACCCATTCCTCCCCTCCCCCCCCCCAAATACACACACACACACACACACACACACACACTGGTCGGATAATTTGTTGGGTGTTCTTTATTCGTACATGGCCAAAATCTTTGCCCCGCTGTAGAGCATGGGCTGTCTGTTGAGAAGGCATGTTTTTCGTGGCAACAATTTTTCTGGGCGGGAATGTTTGTTTGGAGTTATGTTCACTGTATCTCTGCAAGGAGGCTCAGAGAGTCTTTGCTGTGGGTGTCACCCTCACGGGCTGCTCTTTGGGAGCACATGGAAGAAACAGGGATTTCAAGGTTGTTTTAAGCAGTTGTCGCGTGAAGATCTTGTGGTCTTTGGGATTTGGGTACTCTATACACTCCAGAGGCTAGAGAGCAGATGGGGACTGTTTAGCCATGGAGTGATAGAGATAGTGGTGGTGTGACTGTGTTGTTTGGGAGGCCAGTGCTGCTGTGCTTATGGGCTGAAGTTCTCTGCAAGTTTTTTGGACAATGCGCAAATGGAGCCTTCTGTGTTATGTATGTTGTCTTCTGCCTTTTACCCCTGTTTTTATAGATTGAAAAGCGTCACACTTGCACAAATGTATATGTAGTCTTTTCAAAAGACTATGCGCCTCGCTGCACTACTCTCGACATGCACAAAAGACAAAAATATTGCCGGTGCAGCTTTCCATCTTCTAGTGGAAGATTCACTCTCGTTTTGCACATTTCGAGAGTAGTGCAGCGAGGCCGTATATACATTTGTGCAAGTGTGCCGCTTCAGCGGCAGGCGGGTGTGTGGGCACTTCCCGCTCAACACACAAACCTTGGAAACCGTGCACTGTCTATTGTATTGCTCGTCTATTCTTTTTTTGTTTATGGATGGTTTGTGATGGTATGAGGATGGGATGAGACAGAGTTTGGGGATGTTGACACATGCACACACGTAACACACAGACACACACACACACACACACACACACACACAGAGGTGGTTGACTACTGCTTACTGGCAATATAAAAGACAGCTGACAGTTCCTCATGGCCGCTCAGCTGATATTCGGAGCTTTCAGAAGGGAAGGCTCAGAGAATCTCATGTCTGTGGAGGAGGAATGAGGTTTTTCCCTTTTGGATCGATTGCAGTACATCTAATGAGCTACTTTTAAATGATCGTACCTCCAAGGATTGCAAGGCAGCTCTCACTCTTCATACGAGTCACTGAATGTGTCTACTTCTCTATCTCGCAAGGCATCAGCGGATTCTGTAGGAGGCTTTTGCGCTGCCATTGTGCGACCATGGTGTCTGCATCTACGCATTCCTGTTTGGGTGGTTGTCATCAGCAGCCTCCTGTTGTCTCGAACAAAAACACTAAACAGTCGTCATTAACTTTGCGTTTGCAGGATGTGAAGCCATTTATTCCTGCGTCGAAACTGTCTGGAGGTGACGGACAAGATGACGAGGTAATTTATCGAGACATTGCCGAGTAATCCGTCCTTGGGTGCTGGTTCAACTCAGAACAGGGCGATGTTCAGTCTGTTTGTTTTGACTCTCTGCATCGACCATCGGGCTTGGGTAAAAAGCACTCTGTTTTAAATATTGCACTCAGAGCTTTTCTTAGATGCAACTCGGAGCTGTCTGTTTTACAAGATGCCTTGCCTGGATATTATGTGGGGAGTTGTGTAAAGGGGATGAAGTGCCTGAGATCTAACTAGGCGATCAAGCACTCTGTTTTAAAAGGCCGCTTGCCTGGATATTGCACTCCTAGTGTCAACTACCGTCTTCACCCGAATAGAACGCCCGGTAATTATCGCTGCTTCTGGATCGACAGTTGTGCCACATACAGCTATAATGACCGTGCGTTCTATTCCGGTGAAGACGGTAGTCTTATGCATTGCTGCGGGGTCGGTCTGTGGTGACAGCGTAGGTATGCATGAGCAGATAAAGATCTATAGAATTATAGGATTGGCTATAGTTGGAACTTGGGCACCATAGAACCCCTACCTGCAGATGGCGTAGATTGTGTGCGTAAATTGCATCCCCCTACGCTGACGTAGAGTCCCCTGCCTGCAGATGGCCATTCACATGACTTGACTACCAGGTAGGACGCACAGATACTCGTAGTGGAGAATTTTCGACTGGAATTATTATGGGTTGGACAAAGTGCTGATGAATGGCATAACCCCTGCACAAGGACGATGCACATTAATCGAGAATGGTCCAATCAGAGGTTACGCTAAGGAATCAGAAAGGTGAGGTAGGTAGGGGTGGGTCCTGTGAACACCAACAAAAAATTTGAAAAAACAAAAACAAAAACTGTCCTGATGAATGGGAGTCTCGTGGAAATAAGAAGTAGCTTGTTCTCCATAGCCTGATTTGGGCACCTGTTACCTTGTTGTTTTGCCCCCGTGCTTCCACCATTATCCTTCAACCTTCAGGCGATGCTAACACAAGGGCTGTCCTGGATGGTTCCGACCAGAACTTCAGCCGCAACTGTATCTATCTGACTGTAATTCTGTCCGGATCTTAGTTGAGATAGTCGCAGTGTGAGTATGCCCTTGCGCATTCACTTGAGTATCAAATCGCTTTCCTTGGTGTTGTGGTCTGGCTTCTGGTCATCGTAGCCGGTACGATGTATTTATGTAGTGTTATATAAGCAGTTCTGTGCGTCACTTTTTGATGTTGCTCATGTTGCTTCAAATGCATACAACTGTGAAATGAGTTTCCAGGCAATACTCCACGGTGACATCCATGATTGTGCAATCTCCGATGTATGCTTCTCCCGTGTGGTTTCTTCCCCGAAGGCACATCTCCACTTGACACAACCAACTGTTTTCTAAAGTTGATAGGCTGTTGCTGTCTTTGGAATGCGGCTGTTCAGGTCCATCGCAAGCTCTGTGCAATCTCGCTGACACAGGAACCATTATGATGCTATGCTTGTGGAGAGTTTGCAGCAGGATTCTTGTCCCTCTAACCCCTGTCTGTGCTTGACAATGACTTTTTTGGTCCAGGATGACGATGAGATAATCAATTCCTGGAACCTGCGGAAATGCAGTGCTGCAGGACTGGACACACTCTCCACGGTGTTCCATGAAGAAGTGCTTCCAATTTTGATGCCTCGTGTGCAGGTGAGAATTTGTCTTGTCTGGGAACACGCGGTGCCCGAAGAGCTGGTCAGAAAACTGCAACCTTCTTAGATAACAACATAATACCCAAGGCACGTGCCCTATTGTATTTGACATGAAGGCAGGACTTTCTCAAACATGTTGTTTTTGTGTCCTGTTTTTTGTATTCTTCTAAAGGCCCTCGACTCCCTTGAGTATCATCATTGGACTGTCCAGGGTTTGGCAACTGAGCTAGGGTAGTTGGCATGTATCTACCTGTAATATATTGTCATCGTAGCCGATGATTAACCACGAAATTACCTACCCCTTGGAAAAGGTTTGGCGACGAGTATTTGTGTCTACTTCGATCGAGCCAAAGACCAGGCCATAGACGTGTGCACGCTCACACCACTCCAAGCCTTGCTATGGCTCCACATTTACTGCAGAATTTCCTGCCCCTGGCAACGCCATGAGTATTTATGTCTACTTCAGCCGAGCAAAAGACCAGGTCGTAGATGTGTGTACGTACATGCCACTTTTTTAGCCTTGCTATTGCAATGACTTGCTGATTTGACTGCTACAATTTGACTGCGAGGCTGTACAATAACAGTTTGGGGTTAGATTTGTAATTTTGTTGATGTCAGGGACTAACCGTGAGTTCAGTCTTAGGGGGAGATTTGTGAGGGACATATTTGTAAATTCGGGAAATTTGCAGACCCGAGTCCCCTATAGTCTATACTGCGAATAGCAGGCCCGGACTCTCACTAGGACGGGAGGCCTTCGTGGCCTTGGCACGTAGCCGCAGTCCTATAGATATAGCCGGGTAGATAGGTGTCTAGAGGCCCAAAAACTGAAACGCTACTGGTCAGTCCGAGTCTTGGTCTAGTCTAGTTCTATTAATAGATTGTTGTAGGACTGTTTGGGGCTTTTGGGAACTCAGTTCTTTGTCCGTACTGCGGAGTTGAGGCAAGCAAGGAAGGTGACGATTGACCTCAGGTGCGGCTTCCTAAGTACCTCGTCAGTGACGACAGCCATAGCCAGACTGTTGGAGCTTACCGTAGCTGGGGCGTTCTCTGAGCACTCACCCTGGATGCTCTACATAGTGGTTTGTGGGTGGACTACTGCTGCTGCTACTTTGTCAGGGTTACCTGGGTGGCAGAGCCAGTGGCGCTGCAGCCATAGCTGCTTTCATTGTCAGAGTTCCTACATCGGCACTGAGGACTCCATCGCTGGTCTTGTTCTGCATCTTGGTGGTTGGCGCTGGCCTCAGAGAGGCTCATCTAGGGTAGTGCAACAAACTGGGCGTGAGTGTGAGAGTGGAGTTTGGGGTTCAGTGATGGCGAGATACTGGGACAAACTCTGGGACGATTATTGGTTCACATTGGCTCAAATTTGGCTATGTTTTTTTGTTATCCTCGCCAGTGTCTTCTTATGATTCGTTGTTGGGAGTATTGTCAGAGAGTGAGAAACACTTTGTGTTATCTCCACACCTGCATGTAACTGTTTTCCACTGTCAACTCTTTCCGTGTGCAGTGTGCACTCTGTCTCCTCTCCCCTTCTTCTTATGCATGTATGGGTATGTGTGAGATTGACTGAGTGCGAGTGTTGATGAAATTCGACAGACAACCAAATTCATAACACTATGGTACGAACCCTTCTTCCAGACCCCTAGACGGGAGAACCTTTTTGCTTCGTTTGCAAATTATTGTCCCGTAGCAGTGAAAAGAAAGGAAGTTGAAAGTGCATAAAGATGCGAACGTTTACTGCCAGCATTTATTTCACCTCCTTAGAATGTGTATGTATATGTTTCTCCTGAGAAGATCAGGAGCAAATCTATGAACCTTGTTTTTTAAGAAACTTTTGCACAAAAGAATGAGCGCGGAAAGTCGTTAGAACTTGGCTGGCTCAAACTTTGCACGGACCTGTGGACCCTGTGGCCGGTAGGCGGACCGCCCCCGCCCCCCCAACGGCATGCGTCTAACTCACCAGAAACTCAATCTCCAATGCACTGTGGGACGTGACGATTTAAAGCCCAGATTAGCTGAGAATGTTGTCTGAGGTGTTGGTGCTCAATTTGTCAAAAGCAGGTACGTGAGGACTCGTGTTGTGCACAGCGTGTCCGAAAACTCAGGAGGATGAGTCTGTCTTCAGGATTGTGGTGCATTTTCATTTGTGTTGAGTAGGCGCTTTGCTAATCTCTCAAATTTTCGAAATTGGGTTTTTTGTCTGCTCTTTTGCAGCAAAGATTGACCAATAACACAGATGCCGCCTGGAAGGACAGAGAGGCAGCAGTACTAGCTCTCGGGGCTGTTGCTGAAGGTTGCATCGATGGTCTACGACCGCACCTTAATCAGGTGTGTAAGATTGATAAGGACAAGCAGTCTGTTCCGCTGATAGCCCTCCATCATGCCAGTCAGGATTTTCTGTGAGGAATCCTCTATTGAATGTAAGCTCCCAGAGAAGGTCCTGACAACCTTTTTTCATTGTTGTGTGCTGTTCAAATTATGTGTGTGGTTCGATGGCCGTGTCTGGCTTGCAATGAGGCAAATGTGTGGATGCCATCTCTTTCAGATAAATCGGTTATTGGAACTCGATATGGAGGGGTTCCTTATCAAATTTAATGAAAGACATGGAGTTGAAAAGCTATAAGCAAATTCAGGGCACCTATATAATGCAATAGGAACTGCTAGTCATCGTAAGGAACTGCTAGTCATCATAAGGAACAGCTCGGTACGCAAGCCGACCGTTGTCATGAACGGCACAGATCGCAGATCGCCATCACGTGAAGTGACGGCCTGGATAGAGCCCGACCACAATTTTGTCTGATTAGCAACAAGGAGAGAAATGGGAGAGTGAAAGAAGGGAATGAAGATTATGGATCCGGGGATGGAAGGTGAGGGGCCAGATAAATGAGAGGGGTGCAGGAAATAAGAGCTGCAGTGCGAAGGGGTAATGATGTTCCCCCTGTTGGAATTTCAGGAAGACTAGGAAGAAGAAGAGAGGTTGTCGTTGAGGGAAGGAGGATGCGGAGAAGAAATGGCTTTTTCTTGCCCCCGGCCATGTTTCTTTCTCCCCAAGTTTGCCAGAATGTAACAGACTGGAGATCAGGATCCAGAGGCTGTGAAGTCAGGAAATGGGAAAGGGAGGGAGGAGGAAGTGTACCACGGGGGCGTACCTTTTTTTCCCTGCCTCTTCCCCTGCTCCCCCTGACAAGTATAATGTGGAAGTGTGAAGGATCTGGATGGCAGGAGGAGGTAGATGAATTTATAGTGGGAGCAAAGTAAAGATCAGTAGGGCAGAAAAAGGAGAAGGTGGTGAATGAAAGAGGGAGGCAGGTGGAGGAACACAGGGGCAGAGAAAGGACTTTCCCTTCGACAAACAGACCATGAAAGCTCATGAAAAGCTGACAGGAGAGGGGGGGACAACAAGTAACCCTCTTTGGCATTTCCTCCTGTTTTCTAGCGAGCTACAGCAGGTCACCTATTTGGAGGGGTTAATTTCAAGGAGGATTCTAGTGCAGGGAGTGGCTATTGTGAGGAGACGGCGCGTTGTTTGGACTTATTTCCCATGCAGCGCTTCTCATCTAAACAACACATTTCTAGTTTTCTTCGGGGGAGTGTCTTGAATGCTCTTATTTTTTTCCTCTTCTGGAAGTGAGCTGTTTAGCATAACGAGGGATAGGGGAAATCGCATGCATGCTCCTCGTTTTGAAGCTCGAAGTTTTGAATTTGTAAGAAAGCCTTGTGATCTGGCTGTGAAATTTGTCTTTCTGATGGTACAGCCTACCGTGCAAATGAGGTGAGAGCATAACGAGTCAAGTGTCCATAACGAGGGAAGATCGGAGGCTCCTTGTGTTAAGGTTCCAAGTTTGGACTTCTGACAAAGCTTTTTGATTTGGCTTTTTGGCATTTTTCATTTCTTTCCAGATAGTGAACTGCTTGCTTCCATTGCTCGAGGATCCTCGGCCACTTGTGAGGAGCATCACGTGTTGGACACTGTCTCGGTACAGCAAGTACGTTGTGCAGGTATGTAGTCGGTTCATTGCTCACAAACCAGGTTTGTTGTCGTGTATGAAATGCTAACAGCATCTTCGTTTCCATGTGTCTGATGATGATTAGCGCTGGGTGAAAACATGGTGCTGATTTTGAAATTTTGACATTCATCTGCGCATGGAAATGATGACAGAGCATAGACAGTGCAGAAGGAGAGGCTCAGATGGAGCGGGTGATGATGGGACTGCTACGAAGCATCCTTGACGGCAACAAATGGGTCCAGGAGGCTGCTTGCTCGGCATTCGCAACCCTTGAAGAGGTGTGTATGCCGTTCTCCGGACTGTGCAGGAAGGTCACCCTGCACAAACTTGTCACAATCCTGAGCATGATTTTTACTTCCGGATCCCGGTGAAATTACCACCTTGCAATCCTTGGACTGTGGTCATTGGTATATACTATATACTATACAGTCGTGGATGCAATGCGCAATGTTTTACAGATTGTTCTCAGTCTGTTTTTCGTTTTGTTTTTCTTTTCTTTCAATTTTCTGGAGGGTCATGCTAATCTTCTCTGTTCTATTTTTAATAGTCATTCAATGGATGTCGTGAAGGACCGCTTGTTCCAATTTTCCTTTCTTGAAACAGAGATATGATTCCAGACAACACACACACACATCCTTGTAATCAGCTGAACTTTATTTGAATCTGAACCGAAAGAACTCAGGTCCTGAGTGGCATCGGACCTGGTACGTAGCTCTGAGGAGTTTCATTGTTTGAAAAATTTCCCTATCTGAAGGGTAGAACGTTTGCATTCCGAAGCCTCGGGCGTACTTACTACCGTCTTCACTGGAATAGAACGCCCGGTCATTATCGCCATATCTGGGCTGAAAGTTGTGCCAAATACAGCTATAATGACCGGGCGTTCTATTCGGGTGAGGGCAGTAGTGGCACTTTGTATCTAAGAATTGCAAAGTCAGGCACCGGATTGAGTCGTTCTAAAAGGAGGGGACTCAATCTGGCCGCTGATTTTGCAACTCTGCTATTTTAAATCACCAGTACATGTCCCCAGCCAAGTCGAGAATCAAATTGAGGCTCTCCTAAAGTTTGGGAGACTCGAGACAGGGAGTCGAAAGGGCCAGTAGGAAAAAAACTTGTCCTATGTTGTGGGGTGGCACTACAGTAGGCCGAGCCCTAACTGAAAAGGAATCCCGCGCCTGCCCCCAGGCGCGCCCTGTCCCGAGTCCCCTAACTTTTTGGAGCGGCTCATTCGAATTCTTTAGATGCTACTGGTGGTGTAAGGGCCTAGTGTGAGCATACTCTCAATCTGTTGATCAGTATGTTGGTCGCTTTCCCTCGGGGGGCCAGATTTCGCTAACATGTTCATTTTCCTCTGGTGTGTGCAGGATGCCTCGGACCATCTGGCACCTCGTCTCGAGCAGATTTTGCGGCATTTGATGTTTGCATTTGACAAGTACCAGGTGAATTACAGTCCCGGGTGCTGGCTGGTATTGCTCAGGAGATAGATGTTCTGTTTTCTGCTTTCTTCCTTTTTGCTCGTGTGATATGTTCTGTGGGGCCTCTCCTTGACATTGGTGTTTCACACATTTTTATCGGCGACTTCCTTTTTCGGACAGGTCGGAGAGTGTATCAAAGTGCACCACTCCCTTTTCCTTTGGTTCCATATTCGGGGTTTTTTATGATGTTGCAGATGTCTAAGTGGTCTGCAGTTTGTCGGACAGGATGCAGCATTCCTCAGATGAAGGGTGTTGCTCCACCAGCCACTGCATGTGAAAAAAAGACAAAAATAGTTAGTGTCTTTCTTGCCAGTTGCCAAGAGATTCATCTGGAATTCGACCGATTTGGTAAAGTTTGCAGCAAAGCCAAAAGCTTCCCAGCACTTGCGAAATGTGAAAAAGACGGGAAGTAGGGAGTCTATCTCTCAACTTTCTAGTGGAAGATGCATTCAAATTGGCCGACGACTGCAGTCGAAGATCTCCACATCCAAACATGTAACCTATATATATTGGTTTTTCTTCCATCCCGCTAGACGTTCAGGTGCATGTGCTGTACTTTTGGTTTTCTGTGCTCTCCCAAAGGACCCCGAGTCCAGGCTCCTCTCTTTCTTTGAGAGTTGGCTATCAAGGTGGGGGAATAGGGGTATAAATAATTTCGAAGGGGCTAAAGGGGTCTAAAGGGGGGAGCCCCAGTGTGATTCTGTCCTTTTCTTTTTTATGTCCGAATCTGTGAGTAATTTTGATGTGACCCGCGGCCAAAAGTCATTTGTATTGCAATTCTACACAACATATGTTTTCCCGGAAATTTTTGACTTTTTTATTTTTTTTGCGATGGGGCTGGCTGGAAGCATGCCTGGCCAGGCACCCGGGCGTGCATCTGGGCACAAGTTGGGTGCCCGCGCCCCGGAAAAACAGCCTAGCTGTTCTTACCATTTGATAAAAATATTTAATTTATATGCTGGCCTCGGATGCAGTTCTGATAATGCATTCATATGGTTTTCCCAAGGGGAGAAAAAAAATTGTAGTAAATTTGTACCATTGTGAGGGTTACTGACGTGCTTTTTGTTCCGTTTGTTGGTGATGGTCTGGTGTCTCGTTTTCAGCGGAAGAATCTAAGGATCCTATATGACGCCATTGGAACACTGGCAGATGCTGTACAAGGGGAACTCAATGAGGTGAGTTTTGCGACCTGAAATCAAGACAGTATTGCGAAATTTGCGAGTAATGGTATAGCCGAGTGAATGCTGGAAAAATACTTCTTGGTGGTTGTCGGCTGTCCAGGTGTCGAAGTCCAGCTCCTTTCTTTGGTTTGTTTAGCAGTGCTCAGTTGTGTCAGGCTTTGCGAGTATGTTTTGGACGTATTTGTCTGAAATAGTCTACTTATATTGGTCTCCAGAATTGCGGTGGCAGTGCTCAGTTGTGTCAGGCTTTGCGAGTATGTTGTGGACGTATTTGTCTGAAATAGTCTACTTATATTGGTCTCCAGAATTCCGGTGGCAGCATTGATCGCAAGGACTCTTTTTTAACGTCTTTGTGGTTCCCTGGAAGCTCTGTAGTCCCTAACGATCCCATTTTACGTGCACTGCCTGGACATCCGAGGTTTTTTCATTGCCCTTTTGTTGTGCCAGGAATCTAGTTTCTTTCTGGGTCCCATCCATAAAAGAGACGTCAAGAAACCTTTAGCTATTCAGTGGATTGTTGAAGGCAGCTTGTGGAGGCTAAGTTTTACAGAAAAAAAAAAGAAAGGCGTCGTTTGACCAAAAACAACAACAACATAGGTTTAGATCTCCATGGGTTGTCAATGTTCTTTTTCACCTTGAGCAATCCCATCTCTGAGCCAGAAAGCATATTGCCAGCTGTTGCATCTACCTTCTTCCCCCGAATACAACGTACTGTCATTACTGCTGTATCTGGACTGAAAGATGCCTCAAATACAGCTATAATGACCTCACGTTGTATTCGGGGGAAGAAGGTAGGGAATGATGTGTAATGGAATAGTTTAACTTGCCACGAATGGGATGGTGAGCGGCTCGATGCTTGAAACCACCAGTACGCGGGGGCCTGCAGGCGCCTTGCTGCACGCCGAGCTTTTCCAAACCACCAACGGCGCACTTTCTTTCTATTTTGGCTGGTGCAGCCAGCCATTGTGGTCGGGTAGGCCGAGCCTCCAAAAATTTTGTGGGCGAGGAGTTGCATTTTAAGCAATGCTGGGGCCTCTGTGTACCGACGATTTAATGTCATGGAAAGCGTGCCGTTGATGTCAGTGAAACAAGGTATGACTGGTGTGCAGTGAAATGTTCTGCCCTGTCACCAATAGAATGTTGAGCAGCACAACTCACAATGCCATAAAAAGTGTGCAGTTTTTGTATGTCCTTTGTGATTAACCAGCTCGGAATGTGTTGGAAATCTGTTTGGTTGTTCACAGCCTCAATACCTGGAGATTCTGATGCCGCCTCTGATTGCCAAGTGGCAGCAGCTGCCCGACTCGGACAAGGACTTGTTCCCGTTGCTGGAGTGCCTAACATCAATCGCACAGGTAACTCTCATGCCGCTCATCCGTGTCATTAGCAATGCGAAACTGGTTAATCACAAAGGATCTATGTTTTTTTTGTTTTTAGTTTCCTGCTTTTGAAAGTAGCGCTCACTTGTCCTTTGACTGAGTGCAGAGTCATGTGGGATGACTACTGTCTCTTTTGCCTGATAAGCAAAGACGTTCGCCCGTGCGCAAGTATTGACTCCCTTTGATGAGAGGTGGTCGTCTATGTTTTTTTTGTGTTTATTTTCCTGCTTTTGAAAGGTGCTCTCACTTGTCCTTGGACCGAGTGCAGAGTCATGCTGGATGACTACTGCTTCCCCCAACTAGAATGTGAGGTCATTTTATGACCATGTCTAGACTGAAGGGTGCCACAAATGCAGCCATAATCACCATAGGCTCTTTTTACGAGGGAAGAGGGTGGGAGCAGTGGATCACAGTGATCATGATCTCGACATAAAGTACATTCGATTTTTCTTTTTCTTTTTCTGGGAAGGGGCGATGCCACAACCGGTGGGCCTCACCACATGCAGAAAAGACAAAAAATATGGTTGTGTAACTTTCCATGTGCTAGCTGAAGATTCAGTTGAACTTTGCCCCGCTTGGTGAGTAATGGAGCGAGGCCCAATCTCACAGTTATACTCTTAGGGCCTCTCTCCACCACTCACGACGTGCACAAAAGACAAAAGAGTAGATTCAATGTTTTTTTCCCTTTTCCCTTTTTGGAATGCGAGCGGATGGAGCTTCCCCGGAGGGTCGGTCGATGAGGCCAACCGGCAGCGTCGTGGGCAGCGAGAGCTGGCATCGCCAGGGAGCTGAGGTCTGGCAGGTAGAATTTGTACCATTTTCTGTGGCCGATTCATTAGATTTTGTTGGGGAGGAGTGGGCACAGGAGGGGCGTGGTGACGAGCCCCGTTACCCATGGTGGAGGGAAGGGACGACAAGAGGGAGGAGGGGGAGGAGGGCGGGGAGGACGACGAGCAGGAAGACAATTTTATGGCCGTGCATCTCCCCATGCTCCAGCGGAAGATTCATTCCACTGTGCAGGGGAGGAGGGGCAGGATGATGAGCGGGAGGGAGCGGGAGATGGCGAACAGGAGGAGAACAAGATGGGGAGCCCAGCCAGAGGAGGAACGGGAGCATGACGAACAGGAGGATAGGGCAAGCCACGCTAGCCATGGATGGGCAGAATGAGGGTGCAAGGGGAAGGAGGATGGGGACGACTACGAGCAGGAACACAAAAATATGGCTTTGTATCTTTCATGTTCTAGCGGAAGATTCATTCCACTTTAAATGGGAGCCACGCGCGGCGGCGATACTTTGTTTTTCTAATCTGTTACGATTCTGGCCAAGTGCAAAATTCATGAGAAAGCATGATGCCGTCCAATAGCAAAAGAAATGAATGAACTTGAGAGGAGGGAGAGGTGAAGGAGAAGACGAAGATGAGAGAAGGAGAAGAAGATGTACACCAGCAGGAGACCAATGACAAACAGGAGGATGACGAACAGGAGGAGAACAAGATGACGAGCCACACCAGAGGAAGAACGGGAGCATGACGAGCAGGAGGATATGGCAAGCCACGCTAGCAGTGGATGGGCAGAATGAGGGTGCAAGGGAAAGGAGGACGGGGAGGACTACGAGCAGGAAGACAAAAAAATATGGCTGTGCATCTCCCATGTTCCAGCAGAAGATTTATTGCACTTCGAATGCGAGCCGCGCACGGCGGCTATGCTTCGTTTTTCTGATCTGTTATGATTCTGGCCAAGTGCAAAATTCATGAGAAAGCACAATGCCGTCCAATAGCAAAAGAAATGAATGAACTTGTGAGGAGGGAGAGGTGAAGGAGAAGAAGAAGATGAGAGAAAGGAGAAGAAGATGTTCACCAGCAGGAGACCAATGGCAAACCCTCCTCTCGCCAACCAGATCCACCTGCTTACCGCCTCCACTCTTATTCAAACAATAAATAATAATAATGATGATGAATGGCTGAACCAGAATCAAAGTCTGAATCCCATTTCTACTGCCCGGCATGAATCAGAGGTCCACCATAGCCATGCCGCCGTTCTTCTTCATCGTCAATCGGGCGGAGGCTATGGCAGACTACCAAGGGTCTAGCCCTGCTGTGCAAAAGACAACGCAAAGCAGCCTTCTTGGTGGGGCACAACCGCCACTGGGACCTTCCAGATGCAGCGCCTAAAAAGGTGATAAAGATGGCGTCCACCATAGCCAGCTGAGTACCTCGCTGCTCTTCTCCATAGTCTCCTTCTTCCTCCTACCAATAGAGCTCCACCATAGCTGAGGTGGAAGCTCTGGGCCTTTTCCCTCCTCCCAGCGCTGCTTCTACCAGCATTTCTCTTCCTTCAGCGCCCAGACTTCTAGTGCTTGTTCAAGCAGCGTGTCGTCCAGACTTGAATACCTCAAATGAGGAGCACTTCGCTCCTCAAGATATAGCGGCCTACCTTCCTCTTGGGCGGTTTCTTCCAGGCCACTCGGCCTCCAAGCAACCGGTGCCTCCTCCCTTTCGGAGGGAAACATCATTGCAGGCTCTGATATTGTCTGCACAGGCCCTAGACTCAGGCTTCTTGGACTGGTACCTGCCTAGACCTAGCCTACCAACTACTGGGTCTCTAACAATGCCAACTTTTGTCTTCTTCCTCTTGGCCTCCAGTTCCGGACACATCTACCACGAGTTCAGTGGTACCGGCCTACCTGCTACTAGAGTGTTTTTCCCGATGCAACCCTGAAAGTCACGGCCACAGGTAAGTATCGGCCCTGCAGGGCCTCCAAACAAATAAGTGCCCCTTGTGGGTCACACAGACCGAAAAGCACTCAGACAGGCATGCAGAACAGCGAGCATGTGCACACACAGACTTAGAAAATTCAGTAGCACGCCGGAATCTAGGCAGAGCATTCATTCCAGCGGCATAACCCAGAAATCACCAGTGTTCTCAGTCTGTGTTTTGACGGGCCATTACAAATCTGACACTTGCTGTCACACAGTAGAGCTCAGTGTAGTCTGAGGTATCTAGTTGAATACAGGGCAGGGAGTTCTGAGGTATAAGCTCTTTTTGTGGCCTGGTATTCAAATAAAGCCTTATTTTGGACGACACAATTTTAATTTGTCGACGAATCGTCAACCGTGTAGGCCATTGAGCATCCCAATTGCTGGATTGTGTTTTTGTTGGAAGAGTGCATTCAGGAATTTAGAACTTATGCAGCATGTTCAGGGAAATAGACGACATGGCCCTGATTTTGGAATCGCTCGGCCAAATGGGAAATAGCAACACAGTTTTATCAACCGACACACAGTTTTCATGGGGTACTTGGAATGTGTTCTTATTATTGCAGTGCTCACACGTGACACCCAGCCTTCAGAATATAACTACCGTTATATTCCACTTACCCTAAGAAGATGAGATTTTCGTTTTAACTCGCTCCTTTTCAAATAGAACGCTCCTTCGAATAGAACACCCGGGCGCTATATTTGAATAGAATGCCCGGGCGTTATATTTGAATAGAACGCCTGGGCGTTATATTTGAATGTTCCATGGGAAGAGTGTGTTGAAGAGGTCGTATAGATGGGTTTTGAAGAGGGTATACATGGGTTTTGAAGAGGTTTGAATGGGATTCGACTTCCAAAAATCATATTTAAGCCGGTAGTTGTAGCTGCATCACACAAGGCTTCAACACCACATACACAGCATGCACTCTGGCACGATGTGAGAACACTTGGTCGCAAAATTGAGTCTTACACGTGTAGTTTTGTGTATGTGCAATTGGACGGCTATGGCTGTCTCTCTCTCTCTCTCTCTCTCTCCCCCCAAGCTTGGACTTCGCCGATGCCGTGCCCTGTCCTTGCAGCTGTGGTCAGCCTCGGACACTTATGGAGGCTTAATGAGTTTCCTGGGATTAAGTTGCGACAGACTTACAGGCCTAGACCACCAGATCTGCCGGTTCCTATTGACTTGACAGGGCTACCCACTCAATTGTACGGCCTAGACCTAGAACTCCCACTGGCCCACAGAACTGCCCTACTAGTTGGTGTTTATGTTAGATCGGACACTGAGGCTTGGAACTCAACCAGGACTCAGAGATGCGTAAATTCCTTTCTTTATGGTTTCCTGTCCGGTATGCTGAGCAACCCTGATCTCACTCTGATTTTATCATCCGATGCTAATTGTATTAATGCGAAAATGAGGATAGTTTTCAGGTCCACTTGGTTTCTGTTTTGGTTGTGCTTTACTTGTCTTGAGTGTTGGTCAATCTTCTTTGCTAAATGTTTCCACCAAGGGAAGCTGTTGCAATTCTTGAACTTGTGATTGTGTTTCTGTGTCCTCAAGTGTCCCGCTGCTGGCTGTGCAGTCTCTGTGGCGAAGGGGTGGTGAATGCAGTATGCATGTCGAATAGGTTGTACCAATGTGGCTGAAGTGTTCAGCTTTTGCCAGATATGTGAATATGTGGACTTGTGGGTGTTTGTTCTCATTGCAGGCACTCGGGCAAGGGTTTGCACAGTATGCTGAACCTGTGTTTCAAAGATGTGTGAATCTCATCAGAGTCCACCTTCTGGCAAAGGTATGGTTTCTATCATTGCAACACGGATCACTGTCCTGTGACAGACCACCGGCTGCTTTGAAACAAGCCGCTTCTCAATTTACCACACGCTATAAAACAAGAAAGATGGAAACTATAAAGAATTCTCTGCATCAGCATGTGTTTCATCGTACATTGAGGATGCTGAAAGGCAAACAAGGAGAGGAGGGTTCGATTTTCTCTCGACTGCAAATGCAGCCGACTTCCAGAGAGGCGAGGGTTGTTCATGTTCTGCTCTATTGCACCAAATCTCCATCTGCTGTGGAAGCGCGACGTCAGTCACGGAACCCAGACTTTCACTTGACTCATTTGCGCTCGAGATGTCTTGCTGGAAATGTTGGGGCGGGTGGTATGGTGTTGATGTTGTCGAAAATTGTCACTGCTGTAGTGGTGTTCGCTGTGTATCTTGTGCTCTCTCAGATGAAGGTGTCGGCTCTCAGGGGCATGGCCCGTTGCTGCTATGTTCATCGTGGGATTGCACTCCCCTGACCAGCTAAATTCGTGCTTTCCAGGCGCGTGCATTGCAGCAACGGGGCCTGCCTCTTGGTGCTCCTGATTTCATCGAACGGTGTTTCGTTTGGAAGTGCATTTTTTCAGAATGGCGTTTCATTTGGAACAAGTATTATGATACTACACTGAGGGGTGTGTGGGAGAGTGCATGACCCTCAATTAGAGGTGGGAAAAATGTGTTTCATTTGGAACGAGTACTATCCACGGAGGGCGGTGAGGGGTGTGGGGGAGAGTGTATGACCATCAATTAGGGGTGGAAGGTTGCCCGGGGTGAATGGTGTTGTAAGCTAAATTGGGATCTTCGTACCGTGGTGATTGTTGAGTAGCTATGGTGCTGAAGGCAGCGATATAGGGACAAGTACGTGTGGGAAGGGTTGCTACCCTTAAACCACGAGTACACCTGGGCCTGCAGGTGCCTTACTGCGTGCCAAGCTTTTCCGAACCGCCAGCGGCACACTTTTTTTCGTTGTTCGCTGGCGCCGCCAGCCATTTTGGTCCGGTAGGCCGAGCCTCCAAAAGTGTCGTAGGTGACAAGTTTCTTCCTCTCCTCAGTGGCAGTTTAAGTTAAGAAAGGCTCCGGCACAGCTTGTCACATGCCTGGAAGTTTCTTGTACCGCCAGCGGCACACTTTTTTTCTTTGTTTGCTGGCGCCGCCAGCCGTTGTGGTCGGGTAGGCCGAGCCTCCGAAAGCGTCGTAGGTGACAAGTTTCTTCCTCTCCTCAGTGGCAGTTGAAGTTAAGAAGGGCTCCATCCCAGCTTGTCACATGCCTGGAAGTTTCTTGCTTTTCATTCTTTTTCCCCTACTTTCTTCGAAAGTTTTGTTCACAAAATGTTTCAGCACACCTCGCCATCTGCATTGTTTAGGACGTCTTGAGCCTCAGATGTTTGAATCTGGACTTTTGGATAAGCCAGGATTTGGTCGATATCCTGTCCCGTCACTTGGGCTTCTCAACAATTGCTCTTGCTGTTAGACTCCGCACCCCATTTCATTCCTCGTTTTGTTGGTGTCCTTTTTTGTTGGTTTTTAGTGAGTATTGGGATCGTGCAATTTCTGAATGGGTGGTCATTTCACAACACCATTGAAATGAAGGTTCAGGTTCTCAACTGTTGACTGTCGCTCTGACTTCTCTCTGGTCTCTGAACGTCCGGTCTTTTTATTAGACTCCCCGAAATCATTTTATATAAATTTAATAATTTATAATATTTATATTCTGTTTTTGTTGCTCAGCTCGGTGATTTGAAGAGAACTGAGAGAAGCGATCCCTAGTACGAGAGGACTGGGATGGGTCAACCTATGGTGGACGGGTTGTCATGCCAGTGGCATTGCGGGGTAGCTACGTTGGTATGAGAGAACGGCTGAAAGCATATAAGCGGGAAACCCCTCTTGAAAAAAGTCACTCTTTGTGGGTCATTGCTAACTTATTAGGCAACCATTGCTAATCTGTTTTATAATAATCTAATCATAGATAATTTGACCTATTTTTGTAAAATCTTTCTATTGTTTGGTACTGCCACCACCATTTTGATGTGTTTCGATTATTTCAAACAAGAAACTTTGAAGTGTTGGGAGCATGCAATTTGTAAATGGGTGTGGATCGCAGAACATCATTGAAATGAGGGTGCGTGCATCTTCTCATCTGTTGACTGTTGTTGTGAATGTTTTATGCGATGTCATTTTGTGTGGGAGAATCAAGGGCGGGATGTTGGTGTGCTTGCTTGTTTCCACGTGTGGGATGCGTTGTTTGTGGGCCACGTGTGGGAGCTACTTCTGCGCTTAATGTTGCATTGGGGAGGTCTGAGTGGAGTTGGAGGTAGGGGCTATGGTCTGTGACGGAGGATTCGAGTGCCATGTGCGAAGGGGAAGGGGGGTTGGTGGGTGTAAGGGAGTGCGAGTGGAGAGAAAGGAGTGGGTCCGGTTGGTTTGGGGTGTGGTGGTGGGTGGTGGTTTGGAATGTGGTGAGCTGTGAATGCACACACAAACATATTATGTCTCCCAGACAGATGAGGCAAGGGCAGGAATCAAATACGACAAGGAATTCATCGTATGCTCGTTGGACTTACTTTCCGGGATCGCAGAAGGGCTTGGACCAGGAATTGAGAGCCTGGTAAGTAGTCATTTGAGGGAGAATCGGCGAATGGGTGGGGAAATGAATGACAGGTTGAACTGGTAGTCTATTTAGAAAACGGTTGCAAAATGTGAATTCATGTTGACTGTATTTCGATTCAATCGGCAGACGCGTGAGGGTCTGGTAAGCATTCATTCATTTCAAACGTGGATGAGGAAATAGCTGACAGGAGGTTGATTTGGTGGTCTATTTAGCAAGTGGGTCCGAATGGGATATGAATTCATACCCGTTGCCATGCATGCTGGCTGTTTTTTTATTCAATGGTCAGGGAATGATGAAACACTTGCTTTGCATGGATGCTGTTTTCGGATTCAATCGTCCAATGAAGTGGCCGAGTGGGTGACGACAAGCAGTGGCAGGTTGAATAGAAAGTGCATAAGCTGGAGGGTGTGGATGTGATGAGAATGGTATGGAGTCATCTGGGTGCATGCTTTTTGCTGTTTACCGATGTTGGGCGCGCATACAGTGTTGAAGGCAATGCTTCGATGCCATCCAAAGGATGGAATTTCAATTATGTTGATCAGTGAGGCGGAAAGTAGTTTTTTCTTCGAGTCGGTATGAAAACTGGAGGCTAGTGTGAGGAAAACTTTGAACGGTGTTGGAGCAGCTCGTTGGTGCTCATTCATTTGAAGTGTACGGCCCTCCCCCGAACACTTGAGCATATGATTGTGAATGTATGCATGCTATCTGTCTGATCGGATAGGCGTTATGACCATTTCTTGTCCATGGGTGAAGACGATAGCCTCAATGCATGTATACTGTGTGGCTTTGCAATGAAGCGCTCTCCTTAAGTGTTTCTCTGCGCTTAGTGGGAGTTGTCACTCCGCTCTTTGCTACTTCGCTGCTTTGAGTGAATCAATGTAGTAGGTGAAGCCAAGCAGTGATGTACTGTTTGAGTGAAGCACAGCAGCATCGTCTTAGTGAAGCTAAGGAGAGCAAAACGATTGAGTGTAGACTTCATGAATGCTTGACCCACCTGCAGCCAATTAGGTGTGCGTAAACTCTACTGGTTTGGATGTTCACCGAGTGTTGATGACATATCCCTATTTTTGGGAGGATTCTGAACCTACGATGCTTGTGTCCTATGGTTGGATGTGATGAAGGTGGCAAGGAGTGATTTAAGGGATCTTCTTGTTCAGTGTTGTGCGGACGATGCACCAGATGTGAGGCAGAGTTCTCTTGCATTCTTGGGCGATCTTGCGAAGGTTTGTATGTTGTCCCATCACGCCAGTTTTGAGACAGTTTCGGCAATGTGGAACTGTTTGACAGACAGTCACTAGTGCACATCATTCTGGATCATGTTCATTGATGATTTCAATGTTATGAATGACCCAGGCTGAGAAAAGCGTCCGAACGCATGAAAAGCATTGTGTAGAAGAACGAGACCCATAGAAGCACCCTCTGCTTCATGCAATCTTGCACAAGGGTTTATGTTTGGATTGGATACGTCCTTGCAGATATAGTTCCAATTTTTGAGGTTTAGGTTGGCTGTATCTGCCATGTGAGACACGTTTCGTGGCCTTCCTTGTGCTGGCAAAACCCCTCTTATGCGCTGCCTGCAAGGGGGCGGAGGTGGCAGGCAGATTGCAAGAATGCATGTTTGCCCCCTATCATAATTTCCTAGGCACCTGCATCGCATTGTGTTCAGGTTCGGTGACCGTTCCCGAAACTTCGTGACTGAGAATGTGAACGAGTGCCAAACCCTCCGAACGAAAACATTTTTTTTTTTCTTCTTCTTGATCTCAGAGAAATGTGGAAAAAACTATATGTTATGCAGGGTTGCAAACCCCGACGGACAGCGCCCTTGGCTGGTCGGCGCCGGCTGGTCAGGGGTCGTTGGCATCCCGCAAAAAAAGAAAAAGAAAAAGAATGTTTTTTCTTTTGGGTCCAGAACTGCTAATAACCCAACCAACACCCCTGTACCTGCCCCCAATACGCCCATACATGCCCCCAACAACCCCGAATCGCCCCCCAGCACCCTTGTTCCACCCCTTTATACCCCTATAAAACCCCTAAACTCCGCTTCCCCCCCCTTATACCCCCCTCCCAAAACCCCTCATTCCTCCCCATCCCCAAAAGTTTCTCAGCGGATTAGGGCTGTACTCAGCAAGTCCAGCACAGCGCCCGACTCAGATTTGGGAAAAAAACAGTGGATAGCTTTAGCTGACTGGTCGGCAGATCGCCAACGGGTCGGCCCTATTGGTCAGCTGCAAAACCGTCGGCGGTTGGGGTCGGCGGTCGGCAGGTATGCAACCCTGATGTTCTGTAAAAATAATAACACAAACAACTTTTGCCTGGGAGGCATGTTCCAATTCTGAGCCAAAAGCGAGTTAAAAATTGAAAAACCCATTAAAAAACATAAAATAAAAACGTTAGACTGAACACGTGCAGGAGGCGTTCAGCCGAACACCCAATCATGTTTGGGCATTTATGAAAGCCCGAACACATTCCGTGTGCTACACAGCTAGGCAAATTCTGCTTTCTGGAGGGTCATGTTTGTCCGATATCAGTTTCCTAGGTATATTCTGCTTTCTGGAATGTTCGAAGCAAGATGGCAGAAAAGGTGAAAAATAATAAGTTTAATAATCATGTGGTTTGTTGATTTTTTCTGCGGCGTGCTTGTCGTTTGTTGAAATTTACTTTCTCAGATTTTTCTCTGTAAAATTTTGCTAATGTCTTTTGCGCGACTCCCAACTGTTTCTTTTGGCGTGAATGCAGTCCTGCGTTGTGCACTTGCAGCCTAGGATACCAGAGTTCTTGCAGCTTGCAGCTAACCAACTGGTAAGTAATGTCAGTGATGACCTTGCCCTTCTAAGGATATCTGCTCATCGGTGATCATAGATAATAAGCTTCCGCAATGTGTGTTCATCGAGGGGTCTGTGTGTTGGTGGATTGGCCAATGGATTAGTTTGGCTTTTGAAGTCGCAATCCTGATGGTCAGAACGTAAACGAAAATGGAACAAAGCTCAAACAAACAAACAGAAATGATGCTATGAGTAGTGCAAAGCAGACTTCGAATTTGTAATTTTTGTTGCATGGCAGGGGGTCTCCATACGTGTGTTCTTGTTTTACCTTCGTCTTGAAAGGGCAATGGCCTTAAGGTGTTGTCATGCAAGTGACTGGTCCCAGGAAATCCAGAAATTCATTCAACTACCGTCTTCACCAAGAACAGAATGCTCTGTCATTATTGCTGCATCTGGACCGAAAGTTGTGCCAAATACAGCCATAATGACCAAACGCTGTTTGGGTGAAGACAGTAACAGTGTTCATCGGTGTACCAGCAGCAGCTTATATGGCTAACCTTATGTTCCTGTGCTTTCTGTCATCTGTTTTGCAGCAAGCGAGGGATGCGTTGGCACCCGAAAACTACTCTGTTGCAAACAATGCATGCTGGGCTATAGGTGAGGTGGCTGTGAAGGTGAGTTTGTCTAACCAACAAAATTCGGTCGTTGAATGTAGATTGCTGTGTTTTGCGAAGGGGGTGGGGAACAGGAGGTGGCAGGTGTGGCTGGAATTTGTTTGCAGCTTTTAGTCTTATACGTTCACCTTTATTTTGTATCTGCTACATTCCGTTAAAGTTCCTACGGTGCAGGAGTGGGGAGGTGTGGCTGAAATTTGTTGGGAACATGCCAGGATATGGACGCGGGTTCAAATCCTGCTATACCCATGAGGATGTGATGGGGTAGACATGCTTCGAACCCCTTTCAGGCAATTTACATGTCACCATTGGGCTTTTAACCTAATGGTCACTGGTTCAAATCCTGCTATACCCATAAGGATATGATGGGGTAGACATGCTTATACTCCTTTCAGGCAGCTACCTTCTTCCCCCGAATACAACGTACGGTCATTATAGATGTATTTGAGACATCTTTCAGTCTAGATACAGCTGTAATGACCATACGTTGTATTCGGGGGAAGAAGGTAGTCTGGAATATGTATCCAAGTTAGTTGCCTGAAAGGAGTTCAAATCATGTGTACCACATCATATCCTCATGGGTATAGCAGGATTTGAATCTGCGTCCTTTTACGGTTGTAATATTCTCTTCCTTCCATATTTTATGGGGGAGGGGAGGGGGGGAAGATTGAGAGTGCAAAGACGGAGCTACGTATTCATTCAAACCTTTTTGCTCATGGCAAATGCTTTTCAGCAGCAGATGGTGACATGTAAGGGCTTTCTGAGAAAGAAATGGCGATGATCGAGTCTGGCATAACGGTGCCATCTGTATTTCATGTTTGGCATGAACTTCTTGGGGTAGACTACATGAGAATAGTGGGGTTGTTTGTTGAAGAGTAATCTATGGTGGGGAGCATGTTTGGGGAAGGGGTTGTGAACAACATAGGAGGACTTTATGGATATGGCCTGTCTTTTTCAGTGTGATTATGAGCATACCTTGGGTGGCCCAATCAGATTGATGGATGTGGAGTGGGATATTTTGTGCTGTTGGAACCAGCAAGACGATTCGCGTTTCGTTGGTCACAGTCATGCAGTCTCTTGTGCTTGCAGAGAAGGAAAGGTGGGCCAAGCGATGGTTTCTTAACCTTTCTTTTTTCTTTCTTTCAGTGATGGTTTCACCCAGGAGCATGTTTGTCGCGATCTGGCTAAACTCTCGGGGATTGTTTTCGGTGAATCTGTGAATCAATGGTGCAGGTTCGAGCAGAGGCAGCGCCAATTGTTTTGCCTGTAGTACGCTGCATTGTGCCAATTCTGAACTCCCACTCCCCTGAAGTGAGTAATACCTCCTTGCCCTTCGCTTCCATGATATTAGGATCATGAACCGCAATGGCTCAAGCAAAGTCAGAAAACGTTTGTTAGCTTATTGGGTGCCGATCAGTTAGGTGAAGCTACCTATAAGCGGTCATGTGCCGTTTCAACATCTACCTAATTTATACTGCGAGGCTTATGCCCCTATGAGCCCCCTTTTCGGCCCTGCCAAGTATCACGTCGGCCGCCCTAAGTGAAGGCAGGCACGACGAGGGCCTGAGGGCCCCTATTTTGGTCACCACGTAAAGGAAATTCAGGCAGTTGCGCAGCGCCAGTTGGTTGGAAGAACCCACGCCCTGGACAGCCTTTTTGAATGTATCGAAGGGAGGCACTGGGCTGGATACGGGATGTGGGCCTAACACAGGCCGTAGACAGTTGGGCGCAAGCAACCACTACAGGCCCAGGGCCTGAGTTGTGTGGACTGGGCCTCAGCCTACCGGGGCCTACCGGAAGCTTTTTGGGAAAGTCCCAGCGTAGCCTGGGACAGCAAGCAGGCAGGCCACTTCCACATAGCAAAGGGCCTGCCTCTGCATTTGGCATTCGGGTGCTGGCTGCATGCTGCACAAGCGCTGCTGCGCTGAAGCTCGGTGGCACTCACGCGCTCACGGGCGAGCAGGGAGGAGCAGGCAGCCATAGCCGAGCTGCGCTGCTGTGAGCTGGGTGAGGCGCAGGGTGGTCTTTGGGTGCAAGTGGCATCTGTGTGTTGGCCAATGAGGTTGTCAGTGAGGCGAGAGACACATACCTGGTGCTGGAAGCGTGCGGCATTGGCCGCTATCTGCTCTTACTTCGGGAGAGCTGTTGTCGTCAACTTCGGCATTGTAGTATAGGCTAGATAGGATCTGCCATATGTAGTCTGGGCGTCGAGCACCAGACAGGATATCAACTTTGGTTCTTCGTTGATGATGATGATGGGACTATTTCAGCATTGTCAATTATGAACTTTTGGTGTGTTCTTATTTGGTGAAACTCGTGATGCAATTCTGCTGTTGGCTCGAGGTCACGACTATCTGGACTCGTATGTATGATGGTGTTTGATTGCTGAAGTTCGCTATTGCTCATCTTCCTTGCAGTACTGTTTGGAAATAAATTATGCCCGAGGCCAGACGGAAAGCTCATGTAGTCCCATGACATGAAATGTGGGAGTGGGAGTAGTACCTCGTTTTCCTTCGCTTCCATGATATTAGGATCATTGGCCGCAATGGCTCAAGGAAAGTCAAAAAAACGTTTTTCAGCTTATTGGCCGCCAATCGGTCTGGTGTAGCTAAGCAGCCATGTGCCGCTTCAACATCTACCTGCTTTGTACTCTTTGGAAATAAATTGGACCCGAGGTCAGAAGGAAGCTCATGTAGTCCCATCACCTAAATGTGTCGGTTTCACTCTCGCATCCGCAGGTCAACGGCTGCCTGAAGGCATTGAAGTTTGAACAGAGTGATGTAAAGGTCGCTTTGTTTGTGGATAAGCAGTTTAGGGTCGTGTGGGATGGTGTATGTGCGGGTAGGTTAGCATCTTCCCCCAAAATATAACATACGGTCATTATATTTGCTGTATCTGGACTGAAAGATTCCCCAAATGCATTGCTGTATCTGGATTCTTTACTGAAAGATTCTCCAATACAGCTATAATGACCGTATGTTCTATTTGGGGGAAGACTCTCGGTGTTTGTGGAGTGTGTATCAGTTTCTTCTGTCGATCTGATGCTGTTGTTTTTTCAGCGGATGTGGGGAGGTTGAAATTTTAGGACCTTATATCGATTGGGGCCATCTAAATCTTCTGTCTCTCGCTCCAATTTAACGGATGTTCTGAAGGACTCCATTGGATTCGTTCTTGGCCCGTTGATGGGATTGCTGTCTTGAACAGAACCGTGTCCCGATTCACTCACCTTATTTGACCGTTGGTGAGCTGTGGCACGAGGTCTCAAGTGTAGATGATCAGTGCGTGTTCTTTCATGTTCAAACCTCCCATTGCCGTGATATAAATGAACTGTTTTGGATAATCTACTGGCTTGGACAACCTTTTTTTTTTTGTTCTTTTTATATAAGCAGGTCCTTATGGCCGTCTCCTGATCTATTCTGGGGAGTGCCAGCTGGGTTCTTTTGTCTTTTGTTTGAAGTTTAAACCACTAGTACATCCGAAAAAGAAAATTGAGTCTCTCCTACAAAATAGGAGGCCCTGAACCGCCAAATGATTTTATTGAGGATCCATGGCGCCATAATTTTTAGGAGAGGCTCGATCTGCTCTTTCGGATGTACCGGTGATTTAGGGACGGCAACGCCGGTGAGATATCATGGTTGAACTGACTGGTTCAGGATGATTTTCTTCGGGTCATCTGGTGGCATCGGAATGGTTTTGTTCTGTGCGTCTGGTGGCATTAGTATTGTGTTGTTCTGGTGAGATCTGGTTGCATCAGAATGATTTTGTTGTGGTCATCCGGTGGCATCCTCCCATATTTTTTGGCTGAAATCCAGCAGAAGCTCAAGCAGAGTCTGGTGGAGAACTGCGCTATCACTGAGTGAAATGTTGAATCTGACCATTCTCTCTTTTTCTAAACTGCAGAAGCTCAAGCAGAGTCTGGTGGAGAACAGCGCTATCACCCTAGGAAGATTGGCTTGGGTGTGTCCGGAGCAGGTTGCGCCGCATATGGAGCATTTTATGCAGTCATGGTGCCGGGCACTCAAAAGGTAGCAGCAGTGCCTAAACCACCACTCTTCAGATGTTTTGTAGTTCTGCCAGTTTTTATGAAGGTAAAGCAGAACAATCGAACGAAAAGTTTCTCCCAAGTGAGCTAATAGCATTGCATTACACGCTCTCTGCTTGATGACCACGCTTCCCTGGTCGGAATGCAGGTAGGCAACTGGGGAGTTGTGTGATTTTAACCAGGGTGATGGTGGCAAGGTGTGCAGTTTGCACCTTTTGTGGGCGCTTTTACAGGGAGGGGGAGTTGAGAGGGGGGGGTTGGGATGGGGGAGGGAAGGGAGCATTTTTGCCTTGGTAGTGTTTTCTTCTTTTGTGAGGCTGATCGGTGTGTGATTTTAACCAGGGTGATGGTGGCAAGGTGTGCAGTTTGCACCTGTTGTGGGCGCTTTTACAGGGAGGGGGA